CGTGCTACCACACCTGGCTAATTTTTGTATTTTTAGTACAGACAGGGTTTCGCCATGTTGGTCAGGCTGGTCTCAAACTCCTGACCTCGTGATCCACCCGCCTCAGCCTCCCAAAGTGCTGGGATTACAGGCATGAGCCACGGCTCCTGGTCAAGAAGGTTATTTTTTTTAATTGATCATAATAACTGGAGCTGTCATTACCAAAGAGCATCTTTATTTCTCCATTGGATTAACAGAAGAGTACAGCATTCATCCTAGCTGATAACCTTCTTGACTAGCTGAAATCATAAGTTGAGTGATGATGAAGTGTTATCATTCCTTAGAAGAAACTTTTTATTTTATTTTTCTTTTATTTTATTTTATTTTATTTGACAGGATATTGCTCTGTCATCCAGGCTGAAATGCGTTAGTGTGATCATGGCTCAGTGAAGCTTTGAATTCATGAGCTCAAGAGATCCTCGCACCTTAGCTTCCAGAGTAGTTAGGACTCCAGGCCCACACCACCACATCTAGCTAATTTTAAAATTTTTTAGTAGAGACAATGGTTTTGCTATGTCACCCAGGCTGGTCTCCAACTCCTGGCCTCAAGGTATCCTCCTGCCTCAGCCTCTAGGCATGAGCCCCCCAATGCCTGGCCAATTTTTGACTTTTGCAGTGTGATTGAAATTACAAATATTTGCAAACCAGATCAGATAAGAATGTAGGTAATGATGCCATGCAAATTAAAACATGACACAATAATAATTTATTTATAATGAGAATATCTCAATGTCTTTGTTTTCTATACTTTATGACATGATCATCTTTCTACCACATTATGGCCCTCAGTATTTAGAAAGATCCAACTTTCTCTGACATATATTTTCACTTTATGCCTAATTTTATTCACTTTACTTGTAGATATGCAGATAATCTCCTGCTTATGACCTTTCTGAGAAGAGGAAAAATGTATTTGAGTACAAATTCGGATTTTTCAAAGCCCTCTGGTCCTTCTTTCCTGCCTGGTCTCTGTTGGTTTACCCATGTTGTTGGCTGAAGCTGGTTTATTTAAACTTTCAGGACACATCTTCTGTTTGTGCTTTTCCATCTCTCCACTTTTGCCCTGCCTTGTTACTGTCTATTCCTATCTCAAGCAGCTGAAAACCCTTGTATAATTCCCCTCTCCAAACTTCACCTCTGTGGGTTCAGTCTTTCCCTCTAGAACACACAACACACTCTCACCAGGGTTTCACAAACTGGAGGGGCTTTTACATTTTGTGCTTTCTTTCTGATAATCTGAGTAATTTATAAGACAAGCTTTTCTTTTCTGATATATATTTATGTATTTCAATGTTATATAGCAGTTTGGGTTTTCAACCTCGTTGGAGAAACAAGATCATCTTCTTTCACACAGGAGAGAGACTGGATTTTTTTGACTCTGCAGTGCTCTGCATGTTAAAATAATGGCCTTTTTCTTTGTTTGAAATTTTTCCCGAGGAAAATGACACATTTTGGAGTTTTTCCAACTTTATTGAGATATAATTAACAAGCAAAACTTCTATGTTTCGGTTGTACATGTTAATTTTATACACATCTATATTGTGAAATAATTACCACAATCAAGCTAATTGACATATTCATCATCTCACTTAGTTACCTTTGTGTATGCGTGTGTGGGGTAAGAACACTTGAGATCTACTCTCTCAATACATTTCAAGTATGCAGTACAATATTGCTAACTGTAGTCAGCCTGCTGTACATTAGATCCCCAGAATGTATGCCTCTTGTAACTGAAACTCTGCACCTTTTGACCAACATCTGCCCATTCCCACTCCCTCTGCCTATCAGCCACTGGCAACTCCCGTTCTACTCTTCACTTCTACAGATTTGACATTTTAGGCTCCACATATAAATTAGATCATACAGTATTCACCTATCTGTGTCTGGTTTATTTTACTTAGCATAATGTCCTCCAGACTCATTCATGTGGACACAAATAACACAATTTCCTACTTTTTATGCTGAATAATATTCCATTCTCTTTCTCTCTCTCCCCCCCCGCCACCCCCCATCCACCTTGTGTGTGTGTGTGTGTGTGTGTGTGTGTGCGCGCGTGCGTGTGCATAAATCACATTCATTCATCCATCAATGAACACTTGGGTTGTTTTTATATCTTGGCTTGTAAATAGTGATACAATGAACATGGAAGTGCAACTATCTCTTCAACACACTGATTTCATTTCCTTTGGATATATATACCCAGAAGTGGGATTGCTGAATCATATGGTAGTTCTATTTTTAATTTTTTAAGGCACTTCCATACTGTTTTGCATAATGAGTATACCAATTTCCATCCCACCAACAGTATACAAGGGTTACCTTTTCTCCGCATTCTTGCCTACACTTATCTTTACATATTTTTGTTTGTTTTAAGATTAACAAATTTTTAAAAATACGGTGTCTGGCTATGTCGCCCAGGCTGGTCTCAAACTCCTGGGCTCAAGCAGTCCTCCTGCCTCAGCCTCCCAAGTAGCTGGGATTACAGGCGTGTACCACTTTGTGCAACACTAGCCACTTATCTTTTTTATAATAGCCATCCTAACAGCTGTGAAGTGATATCTCATTGTTGTTTTGATTTACACTTCCCTGATGATTAATGATGTTGAGCATCTTTTCATATGTCTGTTGGCCATGTGTATGTCTTCTTTGGAAAAAAAAATGTCTATTCAAGACTTTTGCCAACTTTTAAATTCAGTTATTTGTTTTCTTGCTATTAAGTTCTTTTGTTGTGCAAAAGCTTCTTGGTTTTTGGTTTGATATGGTTCCAGTTATTTATTTTTGCTTGTGCTTTTGATGCATATGTAAAAAGTCATTGTCAAGACCAATGTCAAGGAGATTTTTTCTTGTTTTCTTCTAGGAATTTTATGGTTATAGCTCTTATGTTTAAGTCTTTTATCTATTTCAAGGTAATATTTGGGTATGGTGTAAGATAAGTGTCCAATTTAATTATTTTGCATGTGAATATCTAGTTTTCCCTGCACCATTCATTGAAGGGACTACAGGGTCTTTTCCTTATTGTGCACACCTGGCAAACTTATCAATGATTAGTTGGCTGTATATGTACGGGTTTATTCTTGAAAAATACACATAGACTTTGACCCAGAAATTCCTCCTCTGGGTATATATCCTTAAAGATATATTCACACATATGGATAATAACTTAAATACAAGATTACTATTGCACATTATTTTAAATATCAAACTGCCCATCAATATGAGACAGGCTAAACAGCCTATGGCCCATTCACCCAATGAAACACTATTCAATCATAAATGAATGAGGAAGATTATCTCAAACCATCAGAAAAACTTCCAAGATAAATGTTTAAGTGAAAGAAGCAAGATGGAGAGCACAGTTTATAGTAAGCTACCATTAGGAATGTGGAGAGATAAATATACATATAAAATGCTACATATATAATACAATGTCACATACTGTGCATGCATATCACATCTTTGAAAGGAAATAGTATAAATGGTAGCATAGATGCTAGGAGGGAGGGGAACCAATAGCTAGAAGGCAAATGCAGGGTGGAAAGGCCATATTTGCTGTGTACCATTTTGTAACTTTCAAATTTTGGACCAATAGGTAAAAAAGTAGAAACTTGGGGGTTTCTTGGGATAGATCTAGACTCTCAGAAAATAGATAGTAAATTGAAAAATAACACTTACAAATGCACCCAGAAATCAGCATAAGTAAAAAGAGAAAAGGGCAAAAACAAATATGAAGGAGCTGTTGAACTATATGGAAAGTAAAGGGGAGACACAAGTGTCAATAGGTGGACCATTCTAAGAAAATTGGGGCAGTGGCAGAGATGCAATATTTGAAGACCTGATGGCTGAAAAATAGTCCAGAACTGAAAAAAACACACAAGTGTCCAAACTGAAAAGACTCTCTGAGTTATAAGTGAGGAAAAACAAAAACTAGTATCAAACCTGGATACACTAAAATACAACTGGAAAATATGGATAAACAGAAAATCTTAAAAACTACCAGAGAAATTGCCAAAAACACAAGAGAAATGAAGATCAGACAGAATTCTCATCAGCAACAATCAATCCACGAGGCCGTGGAGTAGTATCTCCAAAGTGCTGAGAGTGAAATAACTGTCATCCTAGAATTTATGCCCCAAATAAACCAGCTCATCCTTCCACCTAACTATTCTGTTTCTAGGTGTATGTTTAGAAAAACCTTGTGATGTGTATATAACAACATGCAATGAGCATTATTCTTTGCCCAAAAAAAACTGAAAACAACATAAGTATACATCTATAGAAGGACGGGTAAATGAACTGTCATGTATATACAATGAAATACCATAGAGCAATTAAACTGAGTCGAGTTAATGTTTCAAGATGGATAATATTGTAAGAAAACCAAGAGTGGCATAACATTTAGTCTACATTTTAAGCATGAAAACAATATTATTTGTAGATACACGTTTACATAGTAAAGTATCAAAAATAATGAGAATAGAGTATATCAATTTTCAGGCTGTAGTTATCTGTGGAAAATAAGAGAGAGGGCTGAGATTCAGGATACCTGGGGGTCTACCATTATATTTCTGATATTTTCTTTATTAGAAAGGCACTGAAGCAAACACAGCAAAACATCCAGATTTGCTATAGAAAAGTGGTAAGTACATGGGAGGAGGGGTCTTTGTATTATTCAGTGGGTTTGACATATGGTACAATTAGGCCCTTGAAGCAGAGAGGTGGATGCGTGTCCATGCCCTGGCTGGACGTGGTGGCCATCTGCATTATGAGGTGTCACGGAGGATGATGCAACAGAAGACTCAGAAGCTTTACAAAATTCCTTCTTCAAGAAGAAACACCCGTGGAGGAAGAAGACATTAAACAAAACAAATTTAAAAACTGTATGTATAGCTTCATGTTTTTAATAAAATAGGAATGAGGACAAATGTTGCTCTTCATCCTACCAGCTGTTTGTTCTTTGGTAGGGGATCATGAGTGGAAAAGCAAAGGCAAGAAGGGCTGCCATGTTTTTTAGAGGTTGTTCTGAAGATGCCAGCGGTAGCACCAGTGGCAGCACTTTGCTATCAGAGGATGAAAACCCTGATACGAATGGGTAGGTAAACACGGCAGAATGGTGTGCCTGAAATTGTAGGTTGTATGTGTTACATCTGTCACTTGTGTCCTGTTCACCTGTTACCTGTTACCTGACAGACAGTGTTTTCCTCCTTTATAGAGAAAATCATTTCCAAATAGTTTCCTTTGAAGGTTTCTCTTGATCACAGTACTTACGCTTGATCACAATACTTCTATGTCAACAGTATCTGGATTAATAACAGCAGACTGGGGACAAGGATTAAGAAAGGAAAGCCATCCTGTTTAAAAGAATGAGCCGCAGCAGCAGGAACTTAAAACCATCCAGATAATTCACTTTTTTTTTTTTTTTTTTTTTTTTTTTTTTTTGTCATTGGCCTCGCTTGTATAGTCTTGGTGGTATGCAGAGCTTAGCACCGGGCTCAGGACTCTGGGCACAGAGGGGCATTTATTACATTCTTGGGTGATAATTGACTAAAGACTCTGGTAGGGGATGCATATTTTGAGTGAATCACCCTGTTTCCTCTAATGAGAACATATGTGGGGATTATTGTAGCAGGGAATCCAAAGACCCTAAACCTATTTAAAAACACCCTGCCCATGTGCTGCCTGCTGGAAAAACAAAAACTTTATTAGAAAAGCACTGAAGCAAACACGGCAAAACATCCAGATTTGCCATAGAAAAGTGGTAGGTATATGGGGTGGGGGACTTTGTATTATTCAGTTGGTTTGACATATGATACAATTAGGCCCTTGAAGCAGAGAGGCAGATGCGTGTCCATGCCCTGGCTGGGCGTGGTGGCCATCTGCATTATGAATGGTGATGAAATAACCTTCCTATTGGTAACAATGAAGCACTTGCACAGAAACAAAACTGTCAACAAAAATAAAAGGAATACTACAAAGTTATTAGTACAAGTAGAGCAGCATTTCAAAATCACAGTAATAACAAAATATGCTTGCCCCAAATGGCAGAATCCCACTGGCTGGGCGAAGGCACCGAAGGAATTTTGCAATGCAGAGCCTGGCAGCAAGTTTTCTAGTAGAAAAAAAAAATAACACTGGAATTAATCTTTGGTAAATATGGTAATGTGATAATTTTCATTTAATGCAGCCCACCAGAAGAGCTCTTATAGACCACAATTGACCTATGAACAACTTTTTTATACAGTGGATCCCTTACCGCTCTCCACATCTCCAATAATAGTTAAAAGGAAGAGGTTTCAGAATATACTTCCCTGGAGGGAAGAGAGTTAAGAAAATTCTCTTCTTAGTTGCTTTCCACACTGTCTCACACTCTTGGATGGCTAATAGGCATGACTGCTTTATGTAGGGGAGATAAGCTACTTAAAGATTCTGTTCTGGGAGAATTAGGTGGCCCACTCTAGTGAATACAGTTAACAAATGATCCATCTTAATGTGATTTTTCGTATGTTTTAAGTAGAAATTTTTAGTTTGCCAACTTGTAATACTTTATCCAGAAGTTTACAACTTTCACCTTAGTTTAATGTGATCATTTTAGCTTCCCTCCCCATCCGCCCTTTAGGGCTTTTTAAAAGGTTGGATGTGAAAAGGTTATCATTACAACCACTTTGTAAAACTGAGCAAAATCTACTGCAACGGATTATGCATGTATCCTATGACCCAGCAATGCCTCTCTTGAGAATATACTTAAATGAAATACATACTTGTCTTCATCAAAAACCATGTACAAGAATGTTCATAGCTGCATTGCTTGTAGTAATATTTATAACTCCATTGTTTATCATAGCCCCGAACACCCATCAATGTTAGGATGGATAACCACATGGTATATTCACACAATGAAATACTATACAGTTATAAGAATGAATGAACCACAGCTATACACAACAGCACAGTTGACTCTCACAGACATAAGGCTGGGAACAGGAGGCAGACAGATAGGGCCCATACCTGAATGGGTCCATTTATAGATGGTTCAAACCCAGCAAACCTACTTAATGGGGATAGAGCTCAGGAGAGCAGGTACCTTCAGAGGTGGGAGGTATAGGGTTGATGAGGGCACAAGATGGGCTTCCGATGGGCTTGGTGTATTTATCTGCTCGGGCTGCAACAATAAATACCACAGACTTGGTGGCTGAAACAACAGAAATTTATTTTCTCGCAGTTTTGGAGGCTAGGAAGTCCAAGATTCCAGCTGATTTGGTCTCTGGTGAGGGCTTTCTTCCTGGATTGCCTTCTCACTGTGTCCCCATGTGACCTTTCTTCTGACTGCACAAAGAGGGAAAAAGTTCTAGTCTCTCTTCCACCTCTTCTAAGGACAACAATCCTGCTAGTTTAGAGTCCCACTGATAACTTCTTTTACCCTTAATTAGCAATTAAAGACCCTATCTCTAAATACAGTAACAATGAGGGTAGGGCTTCAACAAATGAATGTGTGTGTGGTGTGTGTTTGTGTTGGGAGGAGGAGTGCAATTCAGTCCACGGAACTGAGTGTGCTCAATTTCCAGTCCTGGGTGAGGTTTCATGGATGTGTTCATTCTGTGAAGCATCACTGGGCTGTACAATTATACAGAAAAGAACACAAATCGTATTTGTATAGCATACTATACTTCAACACAGAGTAGGAAAAAAGGTCATGATGACTTCAAAGAATTTTATCAGATATTTGTTAATTGTCATAGTTTTTTATCTTAATACCGAATTTCCATAAAATTAGAGCCTGATTTTTCTTCTTTTTCTTTTTTCGTAGCTAATTCTACATTTGAGACATCTAGAAAACTGCCTTTGTTTTTTTCTTATAAGCATTTTAAGAATATAAATAGACGTATACTAGCATAAGCATTGCATATGTGAAAGCGAGAGGTATGACTAAATCTATGTGCTCACATATATGCTGGTAAGTGTGTATCATCACGAAAATGATCTCTTGATTTAAAAAATAGTGGATTGGAAATTAAAGTAATTCATAGACTCAACCTAGATTAAGCAAGAATGAGAATAAGTAAGTTTGTTGACTTGGGAGTAGTGGCTAAAGTCCAAGTTAAATGCATGATGTTGTTAAATTCTTTTTCTAATCATTGTTTTTATTCTTTTAGGGTAACTCGATCATGGAAGATTATTCTAAGTACAATGTTTACATTGACTTTTCTTCTTGTAGGTAAGTCTTCCTAAGTAATGATCCTTAAAAACCATTTCTCTATATGTCTACCTGGTGAGAGAGATCTCAACAGAATGACTCATATTTGTAAATAAATGCCACGGAAAGTGCTGGAGGTGACCTGCACATTATCAAAGCTTTTTTGTTTGTTTTTTATTTCTGATTGTAAAGGTAATATTGGCTTTTAAATAGAAAATTTAGAAAGGACCTTCTTTTCTTTTAGAATTGTGGTTTGCTTTTTGCAAATTTTGTAGTCATATATGTTGCTTTAAAGTTAAGGATTTCTAATATATTTATTGCAAACATATTATACATTTTACCTTTTCTAAATTTAAGTGACTGCACTTGGGAGGTTTTGACAACCAGAGACTGTTGCTCATCACACAGTTCCCCAAAAAATTATTGCAGAATGTGCAGTGTGTAGTTTCATATTGAGAAATATCACAATCCACAACCCCTAGCACACTGGAAATTTGTTATTTAATATATTGACAACTTAAGGCATGGATCTCGCATTAAAATCAAAGTTTCAACCCAGTTATTGTTATAAAAAAGATCATAAAGCGTGTGATCTTTCTTATCTGACTTCTTTCACTTAGCATAATGTTTTTAAGGTTCATCCATATCCTAGCATGTTCTTCATTCCTTTTTGTAGCTAAATAATATTTCATTGTATGTATATACCACATTTTGTTTATCCATTTACCTATTCATGGACATTTAGAGTGCTTTTATCTTTTGGCTATTGCGAATAGTGATGCTGTGCATAAGTGTGTACGTGTGCTTATTTGAACATCTGTTCTCAATTCTTTCAAGTATATACCTAGGAATGAGATTTCTGGGGAGGAACCACCACACTGTTTTCCTCAATGGCTGCACTATTTTACATTCCCACAAGCAGTGTAGGAGGAGTGCTATATTTTGGATATCTGTCCTCCCAAATCCCATGTTGAAATCTGACACCCAATGTTGCAGGTGGGAGCCTAATGGAAGGCATTTGGGTCATGGGGACAGATTCCTCATGAATCACTTGGTTACATCCTTGTAGTAATGAGTTGTCACTCTATTAGTTCTTGTGGGAGCTAATTGTTAAAAAGAACCTGACTTCTCCCAACTCTCTCTTGCTCCCTCTCTCACCATGTGGTCTCTGCACATGCTGGCTCCTTTTTGCTTTCCACTATGAGTGAAAGCAGCCAGAGACCCTCACCAGCTGTAGATGCTGGTGCCATGCTTCTTGTACAGCCTATAGAACTGTGAGCCAAATAAACCTCTTTTCTTTATAAATTGCCCAACCTCAGATATTCCTTTACAGCAACCCAAATGGATAAAAACAAGAAGTCCGATTTCTCTACATTTCCACTAACTTTTTTTTTCCTTTTTTTTTTTTTTTTCATTACAGCCATCCTGGTGGATGAAAAGTCATGTTTCATCATGGTTTTATTTCTCTAATGACTAATGATGTCAAGCATCTTTTTATGTGCTTATTGACCGTTTGTATGTGTTCCTTGGAGAAATGTCCATTAAAGTCTTTTGCTCATTTTTGATTAAGTTGTTTGTCCTTTTGTTGTTGAGTTGGAAGAGTTTTTTATGTATTCTAGATACCAAACCCTTCTCCGATATATCACTTGAAAATATTTCTTTCATTCTGGGTTGTCTTTGCACTTTCTTTATACTGTCCTTTGATACACAAAGGTTTGTAATTTTAAGGGTGTCATATCGAAGAACCCATTGCTAAATCTTTTTTGAAGAGTTTTGTGGTTTTAGCTCTTCTAATATTTAGGTAATTGACCCATTTTGAGTTCTTTTTTTATATGATGCAAGGGATCCAACTTCATTTTTTGGCATGTGGAAAGCCTGTTGTCCCAGGACCATTTGCTAAAAATATTACTCTTTCCCTATAGGGATCTTTGAATGCCTTGTCCTCCTTTCCAAAAACTGAATTGGCTATAGTTGAGTTAGTTTATTTCTGGATATTCTAGCCCATTGGTCTATATGTCTATCATTATCCAGTATCATGCTGTTGGGATTTTGATAAAGATTACTTGGAATCTGTGGACAGTTTTAGGTAGTTTTGCCATCTTAGCAATAGTAAATCTTCCAATTCATGAACACAAGTTGTCCTTCCATTTATTTAGGTCTTCTTTATTTCTTTCAGCCATGTTTTATAAATTTCAGTTTTGATTCTAAAGTAAATCTCTTGTAAGCAGCATGTAGTTGAATCATGTTTTTAAATTCATTCTGCCAGCCTCTGCCTTTTGATTGGAAAGTTTAATCAATTTTCATTTACATTAATTACTAATAAGGAATGACTTACTTCTGCCATTTTTCTATTTTTTAGAAAATCTATACCTTCTATCTTTTTGTTCATTTCCTTCTTTACTGCCTTCTTTTGTGTTTAATTGCTTTGTTGTAGTGTACTGTTTTGATTCTGTTCTCTTTCATTTTGTATTTTTTCTAGATATTTTCTTAGTGGTTACCATGGGGATTTCAACTAAGACCCTACATTTATAACAATATAGTTTAAATTTATACCAAATTAACTTTAATAGAATACAAATACTCTGCTCCTATTCAGCTCTGCTCCTCTTTTTTTTTTCCTCCTTATGATCTGTATTCACTGGGATTTACTCCTCTTTATGTTGTCAGAAATTACATCTTTACACATTGGGTACCCATAAACATAGATGTATAATTATGCTTTATAAATTTGTCTTTTAAATTATGTAGGAAATAAAAAAAGGAGTTACAAACCCAAAACAATAATACTGGTTTCATATTTACCTCTCTATTACCGTTACTGGAGATTTTGATTGCTTCATGTGGCATTGAGTTACTCTCTATGTCCTTTCACTACAGCCTGAAGGAATCCCTGTAGCATTTCCTGAAGGGTTGGTCTAGTGGTAGAGACACCATGAGCTTTTATTTATCTTAGAATATGTTAGTTTTTTCTTCAGTTGGGAGAATAGTTTTCTCATATATAGAACTTTTTTTCTTTTGGCACTTTAAATATGTCATCCCACTCTCTTCTGGCCTCCATGGTTTCTGAAGAAAAAATCAGGTGATAATCCAATGAAGACTTCCTTCTATATGACAAGGCATTGCTCTCTTTCTGCTTTCAAGATTCTCTCTGTGTTTTTGTCTTTCAACAGTTTGATTATAATAGGTTTCAGCATGAGTCTTTTTAAGTTTGTCTTACTTGAAATTTGTTGAGCTTCTTGGATGTGTAGATTCATGGCTTTTTATCAAATTTGGAACTTTTTCAGCTATTATTTCTTTAAATATTATTTTTCTTATTTAGAATTCAAAATTTTTTAAATTTTTGTGGGTACATAGTATATATACTTATGGGGTGCATGAGATGTTTTGATACAGGCATGCAATGTGAAATAATCATATCATGAAGAATGGGGTATCCATCCCCTCAAGCATTTATCCTTTGTGTTGCAAACAATCCAATTACAATCTTTTAGTTATTTTAAAATGTACAATTAAGTAATTTTTTACTGTAGTCACCTATTGTGCTGTCAAATAGTAGGTCTTATTTATTCTTTCTATTTTTTGTACCTATTAACCATCCTCACCTCCTCTGTCTTCAACACTACCCTCCCCAGCTTCTGGTAATCATCATTTTACTCTCTATGTTCATGAGTTTAATTGTTTTAAATTTTAGCTCCCACAAATAAGTGAGAACATGTGATATTTGTCTTTCTGTGCGTGACCTATTTCACTGAACATAATGATCTCCAATTCCATCCATGTTGTTGCAAATAACATTATCTCATTCTTTTTTATGGCTGAGTAGTACACCATTGTGAATATGTACATTTTCTTTATCCATTTATCTGCTGATGGACACTTAGGTTGCTTCCAAATCTTAGCTATTGTGAATAATGCTGCAACAAAAGGGAGTGCAGATATCTCTTTGGCATACTGATTTCCTTTATTTTGGGTATATTCCCAAAGTGGGACTGCTGGATCATATGTTAACTCTGTTTATCATTTTTTGAAGATTCTCCAGACCATTCTGTATAGTGGTTGTACTAATTTACATTCCCACCAACAGTGTATGAGGGCTCTCTTCTCTCCATATCCTCTCCAGCATTTGTTATTGCCTGTCTTTTGGATATAAGCCATTTTAACCGAGGTGAGATAACATCCCATTGTAGTTTTGATTTTCATTTCTCTGACAATCAATGAAACAGGCACCTTTTCATATGCCTGTTTGCCATTTTTGTGTCTTCTTTTGAGAGATGTTTATTTGAATCTTTGGCCCATTTTTAAAATCAGATTATTTAGGGTTCCCCCCCCCAAAGAGCTATTTGAGCCCCTTATATATTCTTCTTATTAATCCCTTGTCAGATGGGTAGTCTGTAAATATTTTCTCCCATTCTGTGGGTTGTCTCTTCACTTTGTTGATTGTATCCTTTGCTGTCAGAAGCTTTTTAGCTGTGATCTCATTTGTCCATTTTTGTTTTTGTTGCCTGTGCTTGTGGGGTACTGCTCAAGAAATTTTTGCCCAGACCAATAACCTGGAGATTTTCCCCCAGTGTTTTCTTATAGTGGTTTCATAGTCTAAAGTCTTAGATTTAAGCCTTTAATCCATTTTGATTTGATTTTTATATATGGCAGGAGACAGGGGTCTAGTTTCATTCTTCTGCGTATGAATATCTAGTTTTCCCAGCACCATTTATTGAAGAGACCATTTTTTCCCCAGCGTGTGGTCTTGGCACATTTGTTGAAAATGAGTTTTCTGTAGGGGTTCTCTATTCTGTTTCATCAGCCTGTCTCTCTCTTTTTAGGCCAGTACCATGCTGTTTTGGTTACTAAGCTCTGTAGTATAATTTGAAGTCAGGTAATGTGATTCCTCCAATTTTCTTCTTTTTGCTTAGAATAGCTTTGACTATTTGGGGTCTTTTGTGGTTCCGTATAAATTTTAGGGTTGTTTTTTCTATTTCTGTGAAGAATGTCATTGGTATTTTGATAGGGATTGCATTGAATATGTAGATTGCTGTGGGTAGTATGGACATTTAGCAATATTGATCTTCTAATTCATGAACATGAGTTATCTACTTTTTGTGTCCTCTTCAATTTCTTTCATCAGTGTTTTATAGTTTTCATTGTAGAGCTCTTTCACTTCTTTGGTTAATTCCTAGATATTTGATTTTATTTGTGGCTATCGTAAATGAGATTACTTTATTAATTTTTCAGATTGTTCACTGTTGACATATAGAAATGCTACTGATTTTTGTACATTGACTTTGTATCCTGCAACACTGCTAAATTTGTTTATCAGTTCTAATAGTTTTTTTGTGGAGTCTTTAGGTTTTTTCCTAATATAAGATCATATCATCAGCAAGCAAGGATAATTTAACTTCTTTCACTGCAGTTTGGATGCCCTTTCTTTCTTTCTTTCTTTTGTCTGGTTGCTCTAGCTATGACTTCCAGTACTATGTTGAATAGCAGGGTGAAAGTGAGAAACCTTGTCGTGTCCCAGGTCTTTGAGGAAAGGCTTTCAGTTTGTTCCCATTCAGTGTGACACCAGCTATGAATCTGTCTGTCATTCATAGCTTTTATTACATTGAGATGTGTTCCTTCTATACCCAGTTTTTTTATGGTTTTTGTCATGGAGAGATGTTGAATTTTATCCAAATGCTTTTTCAGCATCAGTTGAAAACCATTATATGGCTTTTATCCTTCATTTTATTGATATGGTGTATCACACTGATTGATTTGCACATGTTGAACCATTCTGCATCCCAGGGATAAATTCCACTTGGTCATGATGGATGATATTTCTAATGTGCTATGGAATTCAGTTTGCTGGTATTTTGTTAAGGGCTTTTGCATCAATATTCATCAGAGATATTGGCCTGTAGTTTTCTTTTCTTTTCTTTTTAATGTGTCTTTGTCTGGTTTTCATATCAGGGTAATACTGGCATTGTAGAATGAGTTTAGAAGTATTCCCTCCTCCTCTCTTTTTCAGAATAGTTTGCATAAGATTGGTATTAGCTCTTCTTTAAGTGTGTGATAGAATTCAGCAGTGAAGCCGTGGGGTCCTGGGCTTTTCTTTACTGGGAGATTTTTTATTATGGCTTCGATCTCATTACCTTTTATTGGTCTGTTCAGGTTTTGAATTTCTTTCTGGTTCAATCTTGATAGATTGCATGTGTCTAGTAATTTGTCCATTTCTTCTAGATTTTCCAATTTATTGGCATACAGTTGTTCATAGTAGCTAGTAATGATCCTTTAAATTCACGCCATACCAGTTTTAACGTCTCCTTTATTATTTCTAATTTCATTTGTATCTTCTCTTTTTTTTTTCTTAATCTGGTTAAAGGTTTGCCAATTTCGTTTAATTTTTCTAAAAACCTTTGTCCCGTTGATCTTTTGTATTGTTTACTTCAATTTTATTTATTTCTGATCTTATCTTTATTATTTCTTTTCTTCTACTCATTTTGGGTTTGGTTTGCTCTTGCTTATCTAGTTCTTTAAGGTACATCATTAGGTCATTTATAGTATGTTTTTCCTCTTTTTCAATATAGGCACTTAGAGCTATAATATTCCCTCCTAGTACGTCTTTTGCTGTATCCCATAGGTTTTGTTTATTTCTTCAAATATTCTTTCTGCCCCTTTCTCTCTTTCTCTCTCTCTCCTGTTACAACACACGCACAATGCATATGTTGATCCACTTCATGGTGTCTGATAGGTCTCTTGGGCTCTGTTCACTTTTCACTTTTTTCTTTCTGTTCACAGACTCAATAATTTCAATAGCTCTATCTTTAAGTTAACTGATTCTTTCATCTGCCTTCAATAGACTGTTGAGCCCTTCTAGTAAGTTCTTCATTTTAGTTATTCCTCTTTCAGCCTCAGAATTTATATTTGGTTTCTTTCATAATTTATTTTTATCAATATTCTCATTTTATTCATACATAATCTTCCTGGTTTCCTTTAGTTTTTTGTCCATGGTTTCCTTTAGTTTTCGAACATATGTAGAATAGCTGATTTAAAGTTTTTGTCTCGTCATTCCAATGTCAGATTCCTCAGGGATGGTTTCTGCAATTTCTCCTTTTAAATGGGCCATACTTTCCTGTTTTATTGTATGCCATGTGATTTTGTAAATTGAGCATTTTAATATTATAATTAACAACTCTAGAAATCAGATTTTCCTATTTTCCAGGGTTTGCCTGCTGTTGCATGTTGAGGGCTGCAATCACTTGTTTGTTTAGTAACATTTTCAAACAATATATTTTTTTTCTTTTTTGAGACGGAGTCTTGCTCTGTCACCAGGCTGGAGTGCAGTGGCATGATTTCAGCTCACTGCAACCTCCACCTCCCAGGTTCAAGCAATTCTCCTGTCTCAGTCTCCCGAGTACCTGGGACTACAGGCGAGTGCCACCAAGCCCAGCTAATTTTTGTACTTTTAGTAGAGACAGGGTTTCACCATGTTGGCCAGAAAGGTCTCGATCTCTTGACTTCATGATCCGCCCACCAAGGCCTCCCAAAACTATTTTTAAGACTGTATTTCTTGTCGTATATGTTTACTATTCCACTATCTCAGTGGTTAGCCACTGATTTAACACATATTTCCTTGAATTCCTGAATCCAGAGAGAGAGAGAGAAACAGAGACAGAGAGATTACTCTCTCAGTCTTTGCAGCTTGGCTCTAAGCTGGGACACTCCTTCAAGACTAAACCAGGCCACCTACAACTCTGCCTTAGCCTTCACTTCCTGCTTATACACAATCTACAGATCCACCAGAGGTGCAACCCAGTATCTTCTTGAGGTCATTTATGAACATGTATCCAGTCCTAGAAATGCACATTACATTCTCTCTTTCCTAGTATATGATGCAGCAGTCCTTCTGATCCCTTTTTCCAGCAAGAGACTGCCTCTTTATTCATGGGCCTTTGGGTCTGTCTGCCACTTCCATCATCTACTGTCTTTTGTCCCAGTTGGGCTTGGGCAGTGTGTCTTTGAAGTTTTTCAATAGATATTGCCACTTCCTAGAAAGCTATGGGAGTGGAATAAACACAGGTCAGTTTCTGTGCCAGACCCTCAGGGAACCACTAGATGGGTCAAAAAACATTGCCAAGGTATAAGAACAAGGTCTATATTAAAGGGATGTGAAATGCTGTTCCTATAGTTGCCACCACCAGGTTGGGAAATGGAAGATCATAGTCAGGTAAACAAAAATGCCACATGATCTGTTTCTAGAAACTAGCCCCCCTATCCTTAGTTATCTGGCTGCTGTAGGTTTTGGATTAGATTCCAGAGTTCTAAAAAATTTGATTCTGTCAATCTTTACCAGCTATATTGTTTATACGGAGGCTTGATTTTTTGTGTATACTATTCCACCATTTTCCATGATGTCACCCAAGGATCTGATACTCTTAAGAGTATATATATTTTTCATGTTTAGGGAAATTCTTATGAATACATGTAAAATATTTTATGTTTCCAGAGAAACTCTTTAATCAGAGTTTGTCTTTTCTTTAACAGGACTCCTAAGTCATCAGTGGCTTAAAGAAACAGAGGTTCCTCAGAAATCCAGACAATTATATGCCATAATTGCAGAATATGGCTCAAGGCTTTATAAATATCAGGTGATGTTTTGTTAAGTCATTTTGTATATCACTCACTTGAAGTTTAATATGCTACAAGGCTAGTTCAACTTTCAATATGTTATCTTTGTTTTATATGAGAATATCTAATAAAGTTAATGTAGGAAATGGAATTCTATTAAGTGGTTTCTATGGTTTGATTGTGACCGCCAAACCTCATGTCGAAATTTAATTGCCATTGTAACAGTGTTCAGAGGTAGGACCTTTAAAAAGTGATTGGATCATAAGAGCTCTGAATTAACGCCATTATCATTGGAATGCGAGACTCAACTGAAGAGTGGGCTCCTAATAAAAGGATGAGTTTGGTCCCATTTCTCTCTCTGTTTCACATGTTCCTGTGTCCTTTCATCCTTCTGCCAGGGTAGAATCTTCACCACATGCCAGTGCCATGGTCTCAGTTTTCCAAGCCTCCAGAACTGCAAGCCAAACAAACTTCTGTCGTTTATAAGTTACCCAGGCTGTGGTATTCTGTTATAGCAGCAGAAAACAGACAAAGACAATAGCTTCATAGCTATGACATCCTAAAAATTCTCCACAGTTCCCCAAGAGAATCTCAAGCACAAATAAAATGGCAAATAAATCTTTATCATCAACTTCTGCCTGACACTGCCTGACACCAGACAGGAGTATGGCACTTCCCTTTATCCTGAAGCTAGTTAGATCTAAGTGGGCTTAGACTGAGGCCAGTCATTAAATGTCCTCTTTCTGATCCACCCCACCCCCAGCATTCCAGAATAAGACTTGCCCATCCTATGCTCAGAAACTCAGAAGACTGGAGGGAGGAGGGTGGCAGTGTAACCACCCAAAGGGTTCACCTTGCCTGTTGCCTTGACAGAGCCAATTTATCAAGACAGGAGAATTGCAATAGAGAAAGATTAATTCATGCAGAGCCGGTTGTGCAGAAGACCAGAGTTTTATTATTACTCAAATTAGTCTCACCAAGCATTTGAGGATCAAAGTTTTTAAAGATAATTTGGCAGGTAGGGGTTTGGGAATTGGGGAGTGCTGATTGGTCAGGTTGGAGATGGAATCATAGAGGGTCAAAGTGAGGTTTTCTTGCTGTCTTCTGTTCCTGGGTGGGCTGGCAGAACTGGTTGAGTCAGATTACCGGTCTGGGTGGTGTCAGCTGATCCACGCAGTGCAGGGTCTGCAAAATATCTAAAGCACTGATCTCAGGTTTTACAATAGTGATGTTATCCCCAGGAACAATTTGGGGAGGTTCAGACTCCTGGAGCCAGGGGCTGCATGACCCCTAAACTGTAATTTCTAATCTTATAGAGAATTTATTGGTCCTAAAAAGGCAGATTGGTCCCCAAGAAAGAAGCGGGTCTTTTCAGGAAAGGACTATTATCAATTTTGTTTCAGAGTCAAACCATGAACTGAATTCCTTCCCAAAGTTAGTTTGGCCTACTCCCAGGAATGAACAAGGACAGCTTAAAGGTTAGAAGCACAATGGAGTAAGATAGGTCTTATCTCTTTCACTGTCATAATTCCCTCAGTTATCATTTTTGCAAAGATGGTTTCAGCAGAAGCTATGACCAGGTCACTGCTGTTCTGTGGGAAGATGGACAGACATATTGACCTGTCTCCACCAGTATGCTGACCTTTTAACCCATAGTGACTGCAGTGACCCCAGTCAGTGACCTCGGGCCTGACTGATCAGATTCATACTTCATACCCTTTTCGCTGAGGGTCTCTGAAATCTTCTACTTCCCAGTTCCTCCAGCAACTGCCTCATTTCAATGTGTCTTGCCATGTGAAGTCCCTAAAGGGAGGAGACTGCACATTCATGATGCCCATAGCATTCCAGTCCAGTGAGGAAGCCTCCCTGGATGTTCATAGGTTGATGCCCGGGATAACTCCCATCTCAAACGTGCTACTCAGTCTGCATATGTTGACAATCTGTGAGACCCCAGTCTTAGACAAAAGCACAGCCACCTGGGAACCCCACAGAGAGAGTCAGCTCAGATAGCTCCTACTCCACGAGGTCCTCACATCAAAGACTAAGACCAAGCCCATAGGAACTGAAGCTGGATAGTTAGGTCATCACCAGAAAAGCAGAGATCAGCATGCAGAGTGGTCAATGGTGGCTCCAATTATTGCCAATTTGTGCCTAAGCTTCATTGTGATGGTTAATTTTGTGTGTCAGTTTGATTAGGCCATGGAGCTCAGAGGTTTGGTCAAACACCAGTCTAGATATTTCAGTGAACGTATTTTTTAGATGTGATTAACATCTAAATCTATAGACTAAGTACAGAAGACTACCCTCTACAATGTGGGTTCATCTCATGGTCATTTTAAAGTCTTAAGAATAAAGAATGAGATCCCCCAAGAAAGAAGAGATGTTGTCTCCAAATAGCCTTCAGACTTGAGCTGCAACATCAACTCTTCCCTGGTTCTCCAGCCTGCCAGCCTGCCCTGAAAACTTCAGACTTAGCCCCTTGAGCCAATTCCTCAAAATAAATCTCTCTATATATACATTGGCTTGGTTCCGTTTCTCTGGAGAACGCTGACTAATACACTCATAAGTTTATCTGGCAGGTTCTGTTAGTGCCTGAATATTGGGTGCCCCTTTGCCCATAGTCTTCTGCTGCAGATCTTTGCAGGGATGGTTTCTTTCTGAAATTCCAGCTAGCTCAAATGTCTCCTCATCAGACAGGCTTCTGTGACCACCCAAACCACCTGTGACAAAATCCAGGTGTAGATGCATCCCAGTTTGACCCCTGCTTTATCTTAGACACTCATCAATTTCTTTACCAGCTCTCTTTTTGCATTCTCCCCTTTTAACTAAAATGTAATGATCAAGGAGCTTGTCTAGAGCCTAGAAGAGTCCCCAGGTAAATGGAGGCTTAATAAATATATATATAAACAAATAAATAAATAAATAATCTGAGACTAATCACATTTTAAAAAGGCATCCTTCCCTTCTACCTTCCGATTTTAGACTAACCAGCATACTCAACAGCAAATTCAACCCTTTAAAAATGTCTAGCCAGCCCAACACGGTGGCTCATTCCTGTAATCCCAGCACTTTGGGTGCATGAGGTGGGCAGATCATTTGGCTCCAGGAGTTCAAGACCAGCCTGAACAACAAAAAAAATCAGCCAGACATGGTGGCGTATACCTGTAGTCCTAGCTACTCTAGAGGCTGAGGTGGCAGGATCACTTGAGCCTGGGAGGTTGAGGCTGCAGTCAGCTGTGCTTGTGCCCACTCCAGTCTGGGTGATAAAGAAAGACTCTGTCTCAAAATATAAAATAAAATGTCTATGGCCGTGTTTCTAAGGACGGTATTTTTCGTGAGGTTGAAGTTGAACTATGATCATTTAGTTTTTGACCAGTGTTAACCTGGTTTTCACATAGACAAGCACACTGTCAGAAACCACTGGAGACTGATTGTAACTTATTTCTATGTGAGTTCTTTATAAATCCCAAGCTACATGAAGTAGACGCTGTTTATCAATCTCCTGAGCTCAAGCGATTACAGGCATGAAACACTGCACTCGGCCAGTAATAGATTTTAAATATGCTCCCTTGCCTTTAGATATTATTTTATAATGACATTTAATGGATGATAAAATATTCCAATGAATATTTTCAATGAATACTTATTTCTAAACAATTGGATTGTCTCTAATTTTTTAAATATTATAAACATAAACATCCTATGGCTTAATCAATTTGCCTCTCATTGATTACCTACTTAGGATAAACCCTTAAAAGAAAAATAAGTAAAGAATATTTATAATTTTTAGGTGACTTTGTTTTCATATGGAATCCTAACGATTTGATATTACTTTTCAAAAAGCTGGATATATCGCCCCATATTCCACCATGGAGAACAGGATAATGGTAATAATTATGCCTCAGAAGGGATCCTAAGAACACTAAATATATATTACACTTTATCCTTGAAATGACCTTTCAGTAAGAGTATTACTAAATCCATTTATAGATTAGGAAGCTGGATCAGCACAGTGAAGGAAGGCAGCCTGTGGTCACACCACTGCATATTCCAGAGCTGAAATAGTCCTCCCTGAGGATCCAGATTTTGTTGAGACTGGGCCTGCCATTCAGACTAAGACTTTGCTCACTGCTACACTGAGAACAAAATTTTATTGCCACATGCCACTTTCAAATCACCAGCACAGTCTTAATCCATTTGTGCTATTATAACAAAATGCCATAGACCGGGTGGCTTATAAACAACAGAAATGTGTTTCTCACAGTTCTAGAGGCTGTGAAGTCCAAGATCAAGGCATGAGTATTCTATGTTTAATGAGAGCTTTCTTGTGTCTTCAAGTGGCAGAAGGTCAAAGGGCAAAAAGGGCCTAAACTACTTCCTTTGAGCTTTTTATTAAAAGCACTAATGCTATTCACATGGTTGATAACTTCATGACTTAATCATTCCCCAAAATACCCTTCCTCTTAACACCAACACAATGGGGATTAAGTTTCAACATGAATTTTGGAAGAAACATAGATAGATATTCAAGCCATAGCAATCACAGTCGTTAGTTCAAGACAAATGACTTCAAATTTCTTACTCCAATATTTAATTGGTTTCTATCTTAAAACCTGTATTAAGCAGCAAGCTTAGTTATTTACGCAGGACATAGTCTGTCCTCTCTATAGTTTGTAGGATTCACCTTGAAGTTATATGGTTTAAAATTAGATATCTTATGGGACTTCACTGAGAAAAAATTTTAATGACCATGTAAGAAATTTGTTAACACATCATTGAATTTATCCTGGTTCAAATTACTTCAGCCATGTTCCAAGGCATAAAGCTTTGGGTCTCAGTCAACATTATCTGGAAACAAACAAACAAACAAACAAACAAAAAACAAATAAGACTGGGCTTTGCCCATGGCTATTTCTTAGCCAGCCTCTACCTGATGCTTTCATATCTCAGGAGGCTGTAAATTGACAGCACATGCAGACAGACCCTACCTTAATCCATGGTTAGGATAGGGCACAGGGGCTTTGTTGCTGAAAACAATATCCCTGGAGGCTGTGTCCTCTTAATGAGTGCTTTGGACATTTTCACATCTGATGAGGCTTTCCCTGAGGTAGGCTTTGTCATGAGGCCAACAGCCTACAGGGAGGGATGTTTTAGGAAGGTTCCTAGGACACTGAACCCCCATCTCATTGCCAGAAATGTTGCAGAAAGATCATCAACTATACACAAAGCAGCCTTTATAACACTTTTGATTTTCTTTTTTCACATTATGGATGTGGTAAATTTTGGTCATTGGCCTGCCCCCTTTCCCACCCATTTGGTTGCTGTGATGCTCTGAAACAAATTTATAGCCCACAGCTAATAACTTTCAAGAATTTCAGGCACGAGTAGGTTCCAACCTCATCCTTCTTGCATTACCTTACTTTTCCAATCTTTATTTTATCGTCACTTTGACTTCCTCACTTACTGTTTTGTCCTACATATTCTTATACTATATATGTTCCTATAGTAGAACTTGCCTGAAATGCTTTTGGGAATGAGGCAAAATAAAAATGTTTTTAAAATTGTGAAAAATTTTATTTTTCAAGGAACTCTCAAGTTCATTTATCAGCAAACTAATTGAGGAGTGTTTTCTATATGTTATTTTATGGCTAGAACAGAAAAAAGAAACAAATTGAAAACACTGCTCCTACTGACAGGGAACTTGCTCAAACACAATGTGAAAAACTAGAAGTGAGAATATCTACCAATGATAAGCTCCCGAATTCACATCCTTTTCAAAATAAAAATGATGAGGAGAACATATAAGAAGTGTAATTGCTCAGAACAAAAGTAAGGCAATATTTTTCCATGTGTCACACTACATTCCATTCTGACACCATTCTCACACATGACGCAACAGCACCATACAAGATACAACACATTTATAGTATGTGGCACTATTTTGGGCAGAGCAAACTGATAAAAAGCCAGTCTTTGAAACAGAAAAGCAGGCTAATCACTGGATAAAGATGGAGCATTATTTCCCAGATAACACATTGATGGTCACTGTAGGAGACTGAAAGGTGATCCCCAAAAAGATATGTCTACCTCCTGACCCCCAGAACCTGGGAACATGACCTTTATTTGGGAAAAAGGTCTTTGCAGATGTAATTAAGTTTCTTGATATCAAATTGTCCTAGATTACTCAGATGGATCCTAAATACAATGACAGGGATCTCTTTAGGAGACTTACAGAGGACAGAGACACAGAGAGGAGAAGAGGAGACCACATAAAGGCAGAGGCAGAGACTGGAGCGATGTAGCCACAAGCCTAGGAGTGCCCGGAGCCACCAGAAGTTAGAAAAGGCAAGAAACAGAATCTCCCTGAGGACCTTCATAGGAGCGTAACCATGTAGACACGTTGACCTCATGCTTCTGACCTCCGGAACAGCAACAGAATAAATTTCCATTGTTTCAAGCCACCTCATTTGTGGTCATGTGTGTCAAGAGCCCCAGGAAACCCATAGGGTCTCTTTGAGTTCTCTGTTGGGCACCTGAAGTATGAGCTTTGTTGCTACAAGAAAGTGATCATTAAAGGCAGAGGTGTCTGCTTCCCAACCTGGCAGGGAGAGTATGTGGATGAGACAAAATTCTGGAAGCTGCTGTGGGAATCCTCCAAGATTTAAGTTTAAACCCAAGGGAATTGGTTGCTTGGGTCAGACTTCGTTTTCACACTTATCATTCCTCCATTCCGATCTACATTATTTTCTTGGCACGTAGTCAAAGATACTGCCTCTTAATTGATAAATCACTTGAGTAAAACATGTCAGGGTAGGGGAGTTCCAGATATAAAGAAAGGATGTCAGGAGCCATCCCTTCATGGGCATTGTTGACTATTTTTCCTAGAATTCTCTGGGGAAGAGATCTCCCTTCCACATTTGTCCTCCCCTTCTCACCAGCTTGTCCACTCAGTTGGCTTCTGAGCCCTTCAAGATTGGTGCCCCAAGGTGCTCTCTTTTGCCCTCCTTCCTCTGTTGATAATATTATTGACCTTCTCCAACCATCCCATGTTGGAATAGAGGCTGTGCATGTGTGCATATGTGAGTATGCATGTGTGCATATGAGCATGGGCATAAGTGTGTATGAGTGTGTGTATGTGGAGTGTGTGTGTTTGTGTGTGTGTGTCTCATGCTGGGTAAAGACAGATGGGAAGAGAGTGCAGGGCTTTGGAGGCTCCCAGGCTAATGACTTGTAGGGCATTTGAAATGTGAGCACCCTTAGCCGGGTGCAGTGGCTCACGCCTGTAATCCCAGCACTTTGGGAGGCCAAGGCGGGCGGATCACGAGGTCAGGAGATCAAGACCATCCTGGCTAACACGGTGAAGCTCTGTCTCTACTAAAAATACAAAAAAAATTAGCCGGGCATGGTGGTGGGTGCCTGTAGTCCCAGCTACTCGGGAGGCTGAGGCAGGAGAATGGTGTGAACCCAGGAGGCGGAGCTTGCAGTGAGCCGAGATGGTGCCACTGCACTCCAGCCTGGGTGACAGAGCAAGACTCCATCTCAAAAAAAAAAAAAAAATGTGAGCACCCAACCAACCACCGTCATCTGTGGCAGGGCCTGGAAGACACACAGCAGGATGAGCTAAGGAACATAGAGGTGCTGGCCACCCAGGCCCAAGGTCTTCTCAGTGACAGGAAGAGGCGGCTAGGCCATTCCCCCATTCTAGGAGAGGAACAGGCAGCACAGTAGCCTGGTACTGCAGACTAGAGTGCTGCCTGCATTCTGGCATCCTCTATCTCTCCAGTGTTTATGTCTTCCCTGACCACCTCCACAGCAGAAAGTCCTCTGAAGGCAAACGTTGTGTCCAAACGGTAATTTTACCTTTTCCTGGTTTCTTGTCTTAGTTTGGTAACCACCAAGACCATCCACACCAGAGACTATCTATACCACACATGTCACCAATGTTAGATACATTTCTGCAATTTTCTGATTGTGATGGCCAGTCTAGCCCAAAAGTAATCACATCCCTTTCTTATTTGTAAGTGGGAGTCTCCCTCCTTGTTCAGGAACAAGCCCAAAGAGCTCAGCATGCCCTCTAATGTCGCCACGTGCTCCTTGGGTTTTTCCACGTTCACCAGGGGCGCCTCTCCCCTTTGTCTTCCCTTCCCTCTCTTCCTCCTCCCTCTATTTTTTCCTCTTCCAACCTCACTCTCTCCTCCCCATCAGACTGTGTTCAGGCCTTTACAGTCTTAAGAAACAGGAAATGATGTGCCCAACCAAGAGTTCCTGTTGAATGTCACTCATTAAATAGATTTGCATTACCTCATCTCCTTCAAATACATTCATGAGGTACAGATGAGGCTGGGAAAGAGGCAGGCCACTCAGAGGATGCTCCTGAGTTCCAGCCAGCACATCTATATATCAGGAGTCAACGTGCTATTTATTTCCCCTTTCTGAGGAAAAAAAAAAAAAAAACTCTACTTGAATAAGCAGAATTCAGAATGATTTATCTTTTTCTGTTGTTTTCAGGCCAGACTTCGTATGCCTAAAGAGCAACTGGAACTTTTAAAGTGAGTGAGATTTTTTTTGCTATGTGTCTCTTTTTGGTGTGATTTCAAATACTGAAATGTTTTTGTACAAAAAAGCATAAGAAAGAAAAGCTACTCCCTGAAATAACTCAAATTTTCACTCCCAGAAATAACTATTATTAATAGTTAATGACATCATTCTTAGCATTTCTCTATGTATATATGCAGATGGAAAGAAAGGAGGAAGAAAAAGAAAAAAAGAAGATAGAAAAGATTAAAGGGTTAGAGGTGAATTAATCTACTCCTGCTGTGTTTAGTATTAAAAATAGTACATTTATTGTTATTTGGATTTCTCAGAAGAAGGAAACAACCCAATTAAAGTTGCCTCCTCTCACTTGTGCATCTACATAATTTAAAATTTTAAACACCAAACAGTAACATTTTTAGTACTTTAGAAAATTACTTGCCCCTTTATATATTTCTACTTCTATGGAGCATTCCTTAACAAAATACACACTGAGGTGTGCTTTCCATGTTATTTATGATAATTAAAAATGGAAAACAACCCTATAAGAAAAATAGACCAATGGTTAACTACATTGGAATATATTCATGAAATGAAGAATTATAAAGCCATTTAAATAATTCTAAAATAGGTTTAATCATTTGGAAGTGTAGTGGAGACACAAAATTATAAATATTATTTCTATTTTGTTACTAATTTTTTGCATGGAATAAAAACTGGTAGAAAGTCATTAAAATTTAACAGTGTTTATTTCTTCTAAATGCTTGTTTTTTCCCCAATTTTAAGCATGTATTGTTTTACAAATGGGGAAAAATACTAGATAAGTAGTGTTTATACTTTTTCAGCATAAAGAAATACCTATTCGCTTGACATTTTCTTATTCTCTCTACTAGTAATTTTCAAACTGTAAACACAGAAAACCCATTCTTGGGAAGTAAAATCTTGCATGCTCAGGCTGTCAATCTGGTAACCGGTTGCTGCCCACTGGCTGGATCCCCCAGCACCCCTTGCCCAAGGCACTTCCACTGAACTCAGGCTACGGTTCAAAAGCCACTGCTCTGTACTACACTGGAAATGCAAGGTGTTCCCAGTCGGAAGGAGGGTACCAGTGGGATTCAGGATTCACCTGTGTAATGTCACCCAGCTGGGGGACCAGCAAGGTTGATTGAGCCTTGCCTGTCGTCCTGTGCAGAGCCCGGCCAAGCACTAGGACACCCTCAGCCATGTGACCCCTGGATGGCCTCGGGTTTTTTTTTTAAGTGAAGCATGATGCTCTAGAGAAATGGGTGTGCTCTGCTCTCCCCTCACTCAAGAATGTATATCTTCAACAATATAAAGCACCTCATCACGTGGCAGGCTCCGAAGCCCAGCCACAGCTGACAACAGGAGCTTTACACTTTCTTCCTCTCATGCTGAGGTTCTCCCTTTACAGGAAGGAAAGCCAGACTCTGGAAAACAATTTTCATAAAATTCTACTTTTGATTGAACAAATAGATGTCCTGAAGGCATTGCTTAGAGATATGAAGGATGGTACGGACAATAATCACAGCTGGAACACCCATGGAGACCCTGTGGAGGACCCAGACCACACGGAGGTCCTGGATGAGGCAAGGCGTGTTGGGCGGGATGGGGTGGTGGATAGTGAGGATGTCCAGGGTGACGGGGAGTATGTCCTTCCAGTGTCACATCCACTTCTTCTCCCAATGGGAAGTCCAGTGTTGACTGATATTTGGTTCGTGTACAGAAACCCACTGTTTCATAAATGCTGTGTCACAGAGAAGACATTCTATTGCATATGACTTACTTCACACCAAAATAAATAACTCTTCTATTTTCCAGTAGAAAGAAAGAAAGAAAGAGAGAGAGAGAGAGAAAGAAAGAACAGTCTCTGAGCTCTATACACAAATACCTTAAATAGCAAAAGATTTGCATTCATCATCTTTGTAGCTAATGCAGTTAGTCTAGTCAGCATCAGATTCAGGCAAAACTGTGTTGGAAACCATGAGCTCTGTTTTGCTTCTTTCTCTTCTGCTGTCATTACTACTTTCTTTTTCTTCCCTAATGTCTACTTTTTGAAATACGCAGCAATCTGACACAGACCACCTACCGCCCGCCAGGCCCCATTTCATCCTTGTCACTGTGAAGGTGTTACATTTAGGCAGCTTGAACTTAAACTGTTGCGCCTACTTAGGGTGCTTATGGTTTTGTTTGTTTGTTTGTTTGTTTGTTTTTGTTTTTTAGAATGACAGCATCCTTCAGAACCCAATATTAATTAGAGTCAGTGAAAAATGTCTAATATAAGTAATCATGTAATCTGTGTAAACTGCCTTGATTCCCAAGTAACTCTAGAATGTTCAAGTCTTTCAGTCTTTACTGCTAACCACAGGACACTAATGAGGGATGGAACACAGTAGGTCACAGCACAACCTCACCTCACACCTCACCGGGAGGGCACTGTGATGCAGTGGTTAGGGCTTCAGAAGGGACCGTAGGTCCACCATGCTGCGTGACCTTGTGGGAGTCCCTGAACACACCTTGGCTTTATTTACGTCGTATCCCTGAGAGGGACACTCCCAGGAGCCGTGAAGATGTCAGTCCACGACGCATGCACAGTGCCTGGCTCAGAGTGCAGCTGATAGGTGCTCACTGCTATTCTAATTTTGCAAATTAGGTCCAAATCAATAAAACGAATGGTCAAAACTCAAGCAGTTGGCAGACATTGTTAACAGAAAACTGTTTCTAAAATTTCTACAGGAAATGTCAAACTTGGTCAATTATGTACTTAAAAAGTTGAGAGAAGACCAAGTCCAGATGGCTGATTATGCTCTGAAGTCGGCCGGTGAGTACAGAAAAAGTGAAAAGAGGAACATTTAAAAAAACAATACTTCAGGAGTGTCTCTACCCTCTACATTTGTTTATGAGGAAAACATGTTTATCTGGTAACTTGAGAGGGGGGAAATTAATCAATTTAGATAATAAAGAAGAGAATAGAAATAGTTGTCACTGATTGCTTTCTGTGTGCAAATGTTCCAGGGAATAAAGCCTGTGCAACTTCATTAACATGCATCTAAAAGAACCACCAAGAAAGCCAAGATGCCACAGTGAAGTTGTGAAAGGCACAAAATATTAGGACATTTTACATTATTATATACTAAAACGACTATGATAACCAATCTAAATGCATTATTAGGGATTAAATGACAGTGTTTAAAGGTTATATATAATGTTCCTAATATATTTCAATTAAGATTAATTCTTAAGGGCTAAGGCTATGAATCATTAACCTTAATCTTCTCTACCATGCTCTGCCTATAATAGACTACGAGCAATATGTGTTCAGTGAACAATGTGGAAGGAAAGAAGAAAGGGACAGAAGGAGAAAGGAAATATAAAACACATAGTAATGCTAATTTTAATCAATTGATACTCAAATTTATGCCAGGGAGATAAATTTCCAGCTTACATGAACTGGAGAGCATTTGGAACAGCATGATTACTCAGGCTTGAGAGTGTGTGTTTTTTGAGAGAGTGAGTTAGAGGGCAGAACTTTCCCGAACTTGATGCCCTAAAGCATGAGTGTTAAGGTAAGATGGGAGAAGGACCATAGTTCTTTATTTTTAATTTTTTAATTTATTTTTTTTTTTTTGGTCTTGGCATTCTGATACACTTTTTAAATGCTTTCTTCTTTGTATTGATGTATTTACATCAATTGATGTAATTACAACTTCCATTTTGAAAAGCCTATGATGACGAATGTAGGTGCACAAGTAGCGCATGAAGAGTGAGGAAAAGAAGGAGATAATCGGGCTTCTCTGTAACCATAGATGTGGAAACAAATGTCAGTTCTGCTTTGGCTTTGGCCAAGATGGAGAAAGCCTGTTAGGTCCCTTCCCACCTGATTACAATGAAAAAAAAATCTGGACAAAATTCAAAAAGCAACTACCTGAGTGGGCTGAAAAGTAAACAAAGCAGGCAGTTGGAAGAGGGGAACCAAAAACTGTAGTTGTGAGCCTGTGGGAGTTTCCTTTTTTCTTTTCTTTTCTCTTGCAGCGTAGGCTGAGGCAGGCAGCAATTACAGAGCTGCAAATGTGGCAGCAGGTTGGGCAGCTAAAACTGAGAGAGGCCCCATTTTTTTAGCCAAAGACGCAGAATAAAGTAGTTCTGTGGTCCAGAGAGTGTGGGGAGAAAGCCTGGGAAGGCAAAGCTGCAAAGAAGACGCCTGCTCCCCTGTCTGTTTGTGGCCAGCTTCTGGCCTCACCTCTCAGCTGCCCATTCGTGGGAACAGACTCAAAGCAGCAAAGTGGAGGCTTTGAGCATTTGGCAATGATGTAAACTATGACTCAAGTCTTGGACTAACCCCTGAGTGGTACATGGACATGACAGGCCTGCAGCAAAGGTTTTGAGGACTGAATTGAGATTGGAACCACCACCCATAAAAGGAGGGAGGACTCACATTTCTAGGCTGATTGATGAAGCAAATGAAAGCATTCCCTAGTGGATTTTTATGGGACTCAGAGTCTTACAATATAATATTCAGTATGTCTAGGGTACAAATCACAATTACTTGGCATGCAGACTCCTAGGGAAATAAGACCAACTACCAAGGGAAAAGACAACAGATGCCAACCTCATCATGACACAGATGTTCGAATTGTCACACAAAGCTTGAAGCAGCTAGCATAATTATGCTTTATGAGGTAAAAGTAAGTACACTTGAAACGAATGAAAAGATACCTATTCTCAGCCAAGAGAATAAAAAGAACCAGATGGAATTTTAGAACTGAAAAATACAATATCTAAAATAAAAATTGACTATATATGCTTAATAATAGAAAAACAAAAATAGAGAAAAAAAGTAGTGAAGTCACTCCTATTTAACACAGTATGAGAAGTCCTGGCCAAAGTAATCAGACAAGAGAAAGAAATATAGGGCATCCAAATAGGAAGAGAGGAAGTCAAACTATCCCCGTTTGCAGACAACATAATCCCCATAGTCTCAGTCCGAAAGCTTCTTAAGTTGATAAACAACTTCAGCCAAGTTTCAGGATACAAAATCAATGTGCAAAAATCACTAGCATTCCTATACACCAACAAAAGTCAAGCCAAGAGCCAAATCAGTAATGAACTCCCATTCACAATTGCCATAAAAAGAATAAAATACCCAGGAATACAGATAATTTTGGAGGTGAAAGATCTCTACAAAGAGAACTACAAACCATTGCTTAACGAAATCAGAGATGATACAAACAAATGGAAAAACATCTCATGCTCATGGATAGAAAGAATCAATATCATTAAAATGGCCATACTGCCAAAAGCAATTTATAGATTCAATGCTATACTTATTAAACTACCATTGACATTCTTCACATAACTAGATAAAACTATTTTGAAATTCATATGAAACCAAAAATAGCAAGGGCAATTCTAAGCAAAAAGAACAAAGCTGGAGGCATCACATTACCCAACTTCAAACTATACTACAGAGCTACAGTAACCAAAACAGCATGGTACTGGCACAAAAACAGACACATATACCAATGGAACAGAATAGAGAACCCAGAAATAAGGTCACACACAACTATCTAATCTTCTACCAATCTGACAGAAACAAACATTGCAGAAAGTATTCCTATTCAATAAATGGTACTGGAATAACTGGCTAGCCATATGCAGAAGACTGAAATTGGACCCCTTCCATACATCAAATATTAAAAAAACTGAAAATGGAACATAGATTCAAATGTAAAAGCCAAAACTACCAAAAAAAAAAATTAAAAAATAAAAAACCCAGGAAGACAACCTAGGTATTGCCTATGAAGTTACTCCTGCTCAACGCAGTATTAGAAGTCCTGGCCAGGGTAATTAGGGAAGAGAAAGAAATAAAGCACATCCAAATAGGAAGAGAGGAAGTCAAACTATACCTGTTTGCAGACAACATAATCCTATATCTAGAAAACCCCATAGTCTCATCCTGAAAGTTGTATGTACCATTCAGGACATAGGCATGGGCAAAGATATCATGACAAAGACATCAAAAGCAATTGCAACAAAAGTAAGAATTGGCAAATGGGGTTTAATTAAACTAAAGAGCTCTGCACAAAAAAAGAAACTATCAGCAGAGTAAACAGACAACCTACAGAATGGAAGGAAATTTTTGCAAACTCTATGTCCAACAATGGTCTAATATCCAGCATTTATAAGGAACTTGCACAAATTTACAAGAAAACAAAACAACCCCATTAAAAAGTGGGCAAAGGACATGAACAGACACTTTTCAAAAGAAGACCTGCATATGGCCAAAAATCATTTGAAAAAAATCTCAACATCACTGATCATAAGAGAAATGCAAATCAAAACCACAATGAGATAACATCTCACACCAGTCAGAATGGCTATTATCAAAAAGTTAAAAACTAACAGATACTGGCAAGGTTGTGGAGAAAAAGGAATGGTTATACACTGTTGGTGGGAGTGTAAATTATTTCAACCACTGCGAAAGACAGTGTGGTGATTCCTCAAAGACCTAAAGACAAAAATACCATTTGAACCATCAAACTCATTACTAGGATATCCAGAGGAATGTAAATTATTCTTTCATAAAGATATATGCATGCATGTGTTCACTGTAGCACTATTCACAATAGAAAAGACATGGAACCAACCTAAATGCCCATCAATGATAGATTGGATAAAGAAAATGTTGTACATAGACACTATAGAATACTATGCAACCATAAAAAAGAACAAGATCATGTCCTTTGCAGGAACATGGATGGAGCTGGAGGCCATTATCCTTAGCAAACTAACACAGGAATAGAAAACCAAAAACACATGTTCTCACTTATAAGTGGGAGCTAAATGATGAGAACACATGAACACATAGAGGGCAACAACACACACTGGGGCCTATTGGAGGATGGAGGGTGACAGAAGGGAGAAGATCAGGAAAAATAACTAATGAATACCAGGCTTAACACCTGGATGACAAAATAATCTGTACAACAAATCCCCACGACACAAGTTTTTCTATGTAACAAACCTGCACATGTACCCCAAACTTAAAAATTAAAAAGAAAGAAGTAGTGCAGTTGAAGATAGATCAAAAGAAATTATGCAATTCAAAGAATGAAAAAATGTTCGAAAAAAATGCAAACAACTTCAGAAACGTATAGGACACTATAAAAAGGTATAATATTCTTATCCTTGTAGTCTCAGAGGGAGATGAAGAGGAGACCAATGTAGGACAATAATCTAAAGAAGTAATAACCAAAAACATCTCAAACTTGATTTAAAAAAATAAAAAATAAATTTACAGATTCAAAAAGCATGGCAAATCAGAAACAAGATAAATTCAAGGAAAATGACATCCAGACACATCATAGTTAAATTGCTCAAAATCAAAGATGAAGAAAAGTATTTGAAAGAAGCTAAAAAAAATGCATTATTACAGATTTCTTACCAGAAGTTAAAGAGACCAGAAGAGAAGGAAACTACATGTTTAAAGTGCTGAAGGAAAGGATCTAGTAATGCAGAATTGTAGATCCAGTGAAAATATCTTTCAGGAAATGAAGGCAAAATGAAGACACTCTTAGATGAAGAAAAACTAAGAAAATTCTCTGCCAATGAATCCGCTAAAGGAAGTTCTTCAGCTCAATAGAAATGACACCAAAAAGAAACTTGGGACTTAAAGAACGAAGAAGGAGCAACAGCCTCATCTGTGAGTAAAGATGAGGTGGCCCGGCACGGTGGCTCATACCTTGTAATCCCAGCATTTTGGGAGGCTGAGGCAGGTGGATCACCTGAGGTCAGGAGTTCCAGACTAGCCAGGCCAACATGGTGAAATCCTGTCTCTATTAAAAATAGAAAAATTAGCTGGGCGTGGTGGCGCATGCCTGTAATTCCAGCTACTCCAGAGGTTGAGGCAGGAGAATAGCTTCAACCCAGGAGGTGGAGGTTGCAGTGAGCCTAGATCATGCCACTGCTCTCCAGCCTGGGTGACGAGAGTGAAATTCCATCTCAAAACAACAACAACAAAAGATGAGGTAATTTTTCTTCTTTAAGTACTTCAAAATATGTGTGGCTGTTGAAAGGAAAAAATGTATGGCATTATCCGGGGGTGGAGGGCTAATATATGTAGATTTAATACTATGACAACCATAAAGGAAAAGTCAGTGGGTGAGATTTAATGGGCATCTATAAATGTAAAGATTTTACTTGAATGATAAAAAGTTAACTCTTAAATAAACCATGAGCTGCTAGGTATGTGTGTTGTAATCATGAGAATAATTACTTTAAAACACAGAGATATCCAAATGCTAACAGAGAAATCAAAATGGAGGCCAGGCACAGTAGCTCACGCCTATAATCCTGGCACTTTGGGAGGCCAAGGCGGGTGGATCACTTGAGGTCGGGAGTTCGAGACCAGCCTGGCCAACATGGTGAAACCCCGTCTCTACTAAAAATACAAAAAGCCAGGTGTGGTGGCGCACACCTGTAATCCCAGCTACTCAGGAGGCTGAGGCAGGAGAATCGCTTGAACCCGCAAGGCCAGGCAGAGATTGCAGTGAGCCGAGATTGTGCCGTTGCCTGGGCCCCAGAGCGAGACTCAGTTTCAAAAAAATAAAAAAATTAAAAAAAAATTTAAAATTTCAACTAATATTTACAAAAGGCAGGAAAGAGAAATGAAGAAAAACTGGGAGAGAGAGAAAGAAAGGCAGAGGGTAGGGGAAAAGGCATGCAAATTAGAAAGGAAGAAATAAAAATGGTTCTATTCAGAGACAACATGATTGCTTATGTAGAAAAACCACCAAAAAAATCTACTAGAATAAGTGAGGTTTACAAGTTCAAGGGTATATACACAATTTCTATATGCTAACAATAGAAAATTAGAAAATATTTAAAAGCAGCACTATTCATAAATGCAGTAAAAAACATAAAATACTTAGGTATAAGGGTAATAAAATGTGGGAACTGAGAGCTAAAAACTAAAAAATAATAATGAAAGAATTAAACAAAGATTTAAATAAATGGACAGGTATACCATGTTTATGGATTTGAAGACTCAATACCATTAAGATGACAATACTGTCCAGCTTTTCTATGGATTCAATACAATCCTAATCAAAATCCCAGCAGAATTATTTGTAGAAATTGACAACCTGTTTTCAAAATGTACGTGGAATGGTGAAGGAACTAGAAGAGTCAAATTTGTTTTGGGAAAAAGAGGGACAAAGTTGGAGAACTCACACTACCTGATTTTAAGGCTTACTATAAGTTTACAGTAATCAAGAGCATGTGGTACTCGTGAAATCAATGGAACAATGCAAAAAGTCTAGAAGTAGTTCACACCCGTGGTGAATAGATTTTTGAAAAACGGAAAAAAGGCAAGTCAGTGGTGCTGGAACAGGTGGACATTCATATGCAAAAAAAGAAAAAAAAAATGCCTTGGCCCCAAACCCACAATTTGTAAAAATTAACCCCAAATGGGTCACAGTCTTAAATATAAAACTTAAAGCTAGGAAAAAAAATAAGAGAAATTTTTTAGAGTTAGAAAAACTTTTCTTAAACACAACATCAAAAACTATGATTGTAAAAGGAAAATAATGGATAATACAGGGTTCATCAAAATTAATTTCTGCTCTGCCAAAAAACAGTTACGAGAAGGAAAAGACAAGTTACAGGCTGGGGGAGAATATTCGGAAACCACACACATTCTTGAATCCAGAATTTATAGAAAACTGTCAAGCCTCAATTAAGCAAACAGACAACCCAATACAAAATAGGCAAAAGATTTAGAAGACACTTCATTAAAGAAGATATATGCATATCAAAAAAGTATATGAAAAAATGCCTCACATTATTATTCATTAGTGAAATGTCAATTAAAATCTCAATGTTATATCATTACACACCTATTAGAATGCCAAACAGAACAAAACTGACCATACTAAGTGCTGGCAACAGCATGAACCAAATGGACCTCTCATACACTGTGGGTGAGAATGTAACCTGGCACAGCCACTCTGGCAAAGTCTGACAATTTCTTATGAAGTTCAATATAACATCTTATTGACCCAGCAATCCCACTTCTACATATTTATCTAAGATAAATTGAAACATGTTCACATCAAAACTTGCCAAGAATATCTATAGCAACTGTATTCATAATCACCAAAATTGAGAATAACCCCATGTCCATCAACAAAGAATAACAGATGCATTCATACAACGGAATATTAACCTGCAGTCAATAAAAGGAATGAACTTCTTATACTCATTACAGCATTCATAAACCTCAAACGCATTGGCTAAATGAAAGTAGCCTTAGTGAAAAGGCTACATACTGTGACTGACTACAAGGGAGCAGCAAAAGAAATGTCCAGAATAGGTAAACATACAGGGACAGAAAATAAATTAATAATTGCCAAAGCTTGGGGAGGGATATTGGGGGAAATGGGGAATGACAGCTAACTGCTATGGGTTCCTTTTGGGGCTGACTAAATGATCTAAAATTGATTGTGGTGGCTGTGCCACTCTAAGAATATAATACAAAACCCTGAGTCACACACTGTGAATGAGTGAATTGTTTAGGATGTGAATTATATCTTAATAAAGCTGACTTACATTTCTTAATGAATGATAAAATGAATAAATATGAATTATTTTCAAAATTCCACAACACTAAAATTTTAATTTTTTTCTGGAAAGGATTATGGGGATGGGGTGCTCAGTCCTCACATTAGCAGGTGAAAGTGTAGATTCTGTCCAGCCACTTGGTCGAGTAGGAATAGTGAGTGGGCAGTCAGTATCAGCCTTCAAAAACGAAGTACACATAGGGTTTCCAGATAAAATGAAGGGAGCCCAGTTAAATTTAAATTTCAGACAAATAGTAAATAATCTTTTAGTATAAATATATCCCAAATATTGTATGTATATATCCCAAAGTTGTATGACTACAACTAAAAACTTATTCTTTGTTTACCTGAAATTCAAATTTAAATGGCCATCTTGTATTTTTATTTGCCAAATCTGGCAACTCTAGGAACTCATTTACTATTTCAAAAAGTGTGTCATCTAAGAAAAAGTATGGATAATCAGCTGGGTGCGGTGGCTCATGCCTGTAATCCCAACACTTTGGGAGGCCGAGGTGGGTGGATCACTAGGTCAAGAGATGGAGACTATCCTGGCCAATATGGTGAAACCCCGTCTCTACTAAAAATACAACAATTTAGCCGGTGTGGTGGTGGGCGCCTGTAGCCTCAGCTGCTCGGGAAGCTGAGGCGGGAGAATCACTTGAACCCGGGAGGCGGAGGTTGCAGTAAGCCAAGATTGCGCCACTGCACTCCAGCCTGGCAACAGAGTGAGACCCGGTCTCAAAAAAAAAAAAAAAAAAAAAAAAAAAAAAAAAAACTTGATGAGGCACATGTATTTTTAGTGTTGTGGTGTGTTATGCAAATGCAATTTGAAAAAGCCATTTGCATTTTCTTTATTTCTTATGTATAAAATACATTTTGCTTCTAAAATGAAGTAACCTGAAGGGATAATGTTTGATGAGTATATTTCATATTTATTTGATTAAAATTGAGTTCAATGAATCTGCATAATTGCTGCAAATGTAACTTGAAGGACATTTGGAGCGTTGTTGGTTTTCTGCTTTTTTTGTTATTGAGTGAATGGGGATGACAGGAAGTCTCATTTATCGCATGAGCTGTTGAAATATAGAGATCTATGTACGTTTTAGGTGATACAGAATCCATATAATGTTCTCATCTCTACTTTACTTGCCTCAAAATTCAATTTTTATCTTACATTTTGTGAAACTAAACAGAGAAAACTTGTTTTCTTCAAAATGACAAAATTTCAGTGGTAGTGAAAACTGTCATAATTTTCCTATCAATTCCTAAGTATGAATTTTACCTCACTTATAATTTGCCCAGTAATAATTTTCTAGAGACACTGTTAAAATTCAAATGATGTGTTTTGAATGGTGTATGTTGTTTCTTTATTTTAAAACTTATTTTATAATTTTAGGAGCCTCCATCATTGAAGCTGGGACCTCAGAAAGTTACAAAAATAATAAAGCAAAATTGTACTGGCATGGGATAAGTTTCCTAAATCATGAAATGCCTCCAGATATTATTCTTCAGGTAAAGCTAAATTAAGAATCACTTATTTCTATTTTAGAATTTTGTGCTTATTATTTATCATGAAAATGTTAATTTTAAAATAGAGGCAATATAAGAGTGTCCGAACTTGTTACAGAACCTGAAATCATCTCATTACATTTTTTATAGTCAGTACACTGCATGAATTATGTCTTATTTTATGGTTAGTAAACTATGATTAATTATTTACTTATTTATCATTTTAAGATTAGTAAACTAGATTATTTTATTCTCAAATAAAACATATACATTCCGTGTCTTTTCTGTAAGTTGATTCTGTGACCATACTTTTCCATTGAAAACTTCATTCAACGAACATTTGTTGAAAGTACTTGTCTGCTAAGTGCCAGTACTGTACTGTGTTAAGTGCTATTCAGACCACATGTTCCTAAGTCTAATTATAACAGGAGAAATCTCCAAGTAAGATCCCCACCAAACTTTTCAGTTACATTCTAAAGGCAGTAGCCATCAACAGACAGCAGAGCACCTCTCAACTTTGATCCATACACCTGAAGTTAGTCGCAAATTTAGAACTTTCAGGGGTAAAACCCATTGATCTTATTCCAGTCTGTAGTTTATATCTACAAAGTAGTAGACCTCATTTTTCTTCTCTATCACCATAATCACCACCACCACTCCCATCTCCATCAACACCCTCATCTTCGTCACCACCACCACCACCATCTTTCTTCATCACAGCCTCCATGTCCATCACCATCACCACCACCACCATCACCATCACTGCCACCACAGCCACCATCACTGCCACCACCACCGCCACCTCCATCACCATCTTTCTTTATCACCACCCCCATGTCCATCATCATCACCACCACCAATGTCACTGTTGCCACCACCACCACCATCACTGCCACCACTACCACTACCTTTATCACCACCTTCACCACTACTACTCCAATTATCACTATCACTATCACCACCACTACCATTACTACCATCACCATTACCTCTACCACCACCACCATTGCCATGACCACCATTGCCATCACCATTACCACTACCACCATCATCGTCACCTCCACTGCCACCATTATTACCACCATCATCACCACAATGATCACTACAGTGGTCACCACCATCATCCTCACTACAACCATCACTAGCCTTACCAGCACCCCACTCATGCCCTCTAGCTGCCTTATAACAGGTTACAGTCTAGTTAGAGCAATGAAAGAAAACATGCTCATATGATAAAGGACTCTGATTGATATGAGCATACAGTGCTCTGGAAAAGCAACCACACTAGAGGTGTCTTGGGAGTTTTCCTATTTTATAGGCATAAGAGAGATCTGCAGTCAATAGTGATTAGCTGATCAGTATTGTGGGAATGGATTCACATAACTAGTTAACAGATTAATTCAGTGTTTTCTTTCCAGCCGGATGTCTACCCTGGAAATTGCTGGGCTTTTCCAGGTTCCCAGGGTCATACCCTAATCAAGCTTGCTACAAAGATCATACCTACTGCTGTTACCATGGAGCACATCTCAGAGAAGGTGTCTCCCTCAGGAAACATCTCCAGTGCACCCAAGGAATTTTCTGTCTATGTAAGAAGCTATCTAAATTTGTCATTCAGATTGGCCTGATAGAAGGTGGTTGGCTGGGAATTAGGGGCTGTCCTCTGAACTAGTACAGATAACTAGTTGTGTCACTTATTTCCTGGACTTTCGCTTTCTCACCTACAAAGAGAGAGAGTTGGACCAAATGATTTATATTATTCAACTTTTTTTTACTTTTATCAAAGTTATACATGTACATGTAAAAATCAAGTATTTCCATAAAGTTTGTAAAGAAATAGTTATTCCTTGTCCCACTTCTCCACATCTCCAATTCTCATTATCCCAGAGCTTCTACTTGCAACAATTTTAGATGTTTATTTGGGTACTTGCCTCCATGTTGGCTTTTACCATTACTTCTTGATTTTTCAGTTTTAGTTATGACATCCTCTCATGGAAAGTGAAGAGTATACTGATCTTTTCCATGGCACTTCCATCCTCCCAACATGTTTATGTCTTGATTTAAAAAACAAAACATGTTTCTGGAGATATAATTCCCATAACAATTAATTCACCCACTTAAAGTACACCCTTCAGTGGCTTTGGTATATTCACAGAGTTGTGTATTCATCACCATAATCAATTTTAGAACATTTTTCTTACCCTAAAAGGAAACCCCATAACCCTTACCCATCACCTCCTATTCCCCTAGTGTACTCCTCCAACCCCTGGCAACCACTAATCTACTTTGTCTCAATAAATTTACCATTCTATGCATTTCATATAAATTGAATCATTTATAATGTGTGATCTTTTGCAAATGGCTTAACTTAGCATACTGTTTTCAAGGTTCATTTATGATATAGTATGTCTCAATATTTCATTTATTTTTTATTGACAACATTTCATTGTATGGATATATGATATTTTATTTATCTATTCATCAGTTGATGGACATCTGAATTATTTTCATTTTTTTGGTCATTATGAATAATGCTTCAATAAACATTCATGTACAAGTTTTTGTGTGGACATGAGTTTTTGTTTTGCTTGGGTGTATACCTAAGACTGGAATTCCTAGATAGCATGGTAAATGTAGGTTTAACATTTGAGGCACTGCTAGAAGACCGTATTATCTTTTTGTTCAAGCAATACTCGATGTTTTCACGGTGACTATGTGAACAAAACAGCTCTCAGTTGAACTATTTAGTGTACTTAAATACTACTTTCTTCCATTTTTTTATGTTTCTGACTGTAATAATTGCTTTACTTTTTTTTTTTTTTTCTTGAGACAGGGTCTCAGCTCTGTCACCCAGGTTAGAGTACAGTGGCACAATCACAGCTCACTGCAACTTCAAACTCACGGGATTGTTTTTTAAGTCTTTTAGTAGAGATAAAGGTCTCACTATGTTACCCAGGCTGGTCTCAAACTCCAGGGCTCAGGGGATCCTCCCTCCTTGGCCTCCCACAGTGCTGGGATTACAGACGTGAGCCACAGGTGCCCAGCCTATTTTTCTTTAATTTGCTTAGTTTTTCTGTATTCCTATTACTAAAACTTTCCCAAATTCTTCTTCAGAAGTACAAATATTCCCCCATTATGTTGATTCACATGAGATAATTTATAAATTTCTTCCATTCTTCATCCCTTCCTTCATTTTCTATTCATTTATTTTCTTTTTTCTTTTTCCCCGAGATATCCCTCTGGCGCCCTCAGCGTTTTGCTCCAGCCTTGTTAGGTAGGCCTGATGCACAACTGTTGTCATGGGATTTCATGCCTGCATCCTGAGGATTCAACTTATTGTCTAATTTATTATTTTTAAAAAGTGTTTATTTCCCTTTTCTGTTTTTTGTTCCACCTGCTGGAAGATCATATCAATTCATATTTTAACCCCTCTATGGAAATTTTCATTCCTGCTGTCATGATTATACTTTCTGAGACTTCTTGTTTCTATACATATTCCCTTTTTTAGAGCCTATTTTTTTTTCTTTTATGAAGGCAGTACCTTCTCTTATGCTTCTGAAGATATTAACTGTAGGTTTGTCTCACTTTCTTCTGCTCGCTTCCGGGTCTGGATTTCCTAGCCCCACTTTTCCCCCTTGTGCGTATGGTCTGTTTCCTGTACAACGCTCTACTCCCATGTCTGTGATGCTTGTCACATGAATTGCTAGGCGGTGCAAAGCCAGCAGGAAGCTTTGCGCGCACGTTTGCGCTCACGATGGGGCTTATATGTCGTGAGTTTGCCCCGGGAATCATCAGGTCAGGCCATTTCGTTGGGAGTCACAAGTGTGCCATCAGGAGAGTTGACCCTGAGAGGACTCCTGCAGTGCACAGGAGGTACCAGCCTGGCCAACTACACCAGGAACTGCTGGGGAGAGGAGGGCCGCGGGGCCACCACTTTGTGCAGGGGTCATGCTCTTGTGGGCGGTTCTGGGGCGGTGCCGGCAGTGGTCTTAGAGATGGGAGGAAGAACAGAGCCCTCTGCTGGGCCAGGCGGGGCTGGAGGGGCGTGGAGGGGTTGTAACTGCTTTTTGAAATGACTGTCAGCTAAACCGCAGATTCAGGCTCCTTTCCCCCACACCTCCCCGCCCCACGTGGACTCCCTCTTCCGGCCTTTCTGGGAACCTGCCGCTTAAGTTCTGCACTGCTGGTTCCACCTACAGCCAGAGTAGTTTGTGTTCTTTCTCTCCAGCTGCCATTTGGTCATCTTCACTTTTTGGTGTTTGTTTCTTTCTTTGTTTTTGTTTTTGTTCGTTTTGGTTTGGTTTGGTTTTTGGTTTTACTGTCTACTCCCACTTTTGCCTTATAGGTTTATGCCTTACTTCAATTATTTGATCTTCCCATCTGGAGGAGGGCCCCGGGTTAAACAGCCTGCCTTACATGCCACCCAAATGCCTCTACATTCCATATGTGGAGTTTCACAACAAAGGGCTGCTGTCCTTTCATAGAAGCCCGCACCACCTGTAAGTGGTGTCTGAAAAGTTGAGTTTGAGCAGCTAAGTTCCATCTCAGAAAGGTGAACATATTCATTGTTTAGAAAACTTATGGGTGAATCCCAAAGGCAGGGATCCTTTAGTAATAAAAACTGCTTCTCATTATTTTATTCTACATTAGAGAATTTATGAAACAAGTAAAATCAAAACAAGGTGATAAAAGGGCTGGGTGCAGTAGCTGCTCCTGTGATCCCACCTCCTTAAAAGGCTAAAGCAGGAGGATCACCTGAGCCCGGGAATTGGAGGCCAGCCTGGGCACCATGGCCAGACCCCGTTTTTTTTTGTTTGTTTGTTTGTTTTTCTTTTAACTTTTATGTTAGGTTCAGGGATATATGTTCAGGTTTGTTATATAGACAGTAAGTAGTAATACCCAACAGGTATTTCTCTGCTCCTCTCCCTCCTCCCAACCCCCCACCCTCAAGTAGATCTCAGTGTCTATTGTTCCCCTTTGTGTTCATGTGTTCTCATTATTTAGCTCCCACTTATAAGTGAGAACATAGGTATTTGTTTTTCTGTTCCTGTGTTAGTTTGCTATGGATAATGGCCTCCAGCTCCATCCATGTCCCTGCAAAGGACATGATCTTGTTCTTTTTTATGGCTGCATAGTATTCCATCAGATCTGTTTCTTAAAAAAAAAAAAAAGGAGGTGATAAAGAAGGTAAAAATAAAACTAGCACTCCTCTCAAGCTAAAGAGAATATATGAGGCTTGAGTCATATATACATATATAATTGTCAGTACATTATGTAACCATGATGTATCCAACTCTTTTAATAAAAAGTTATAGTTTGATATTAATATTTTTATTATAAAATGATTTAACGAATGTACTCTTTATTTTGCTGTGTTACTACAATTTAAGGAACCTAACAATAAACTTCAGATTCACGTAATGAATTAGTTTGCAGCAGTGCATTCTCCTCTCACAAATCTTCAATTTGAAGGGTTGAGAGGAAGAACAAAAAGCACAAAAGAAATTGCATACAAAGAAAAAATCAGTGTTTTTATCAGTCAACAGAAGCTTACTTTTTAGAGGAAATTATTTGTGTGATCAAAATCTAGCAATTGGCCTATGTTTATCTCATTTTGGAAAACATCAGTTCAATATGGGGACCCATTTTTATTTTATTCAAAGTATGCTTATTGCAAATACAGTTATCAGACCAGAGTTAATGCTGGGATTTTCTCTACATGTATGTATCTGTCTTTCATCTATCAGTTGTTTATCTATCAATCATCTATCTTTCATCTGTCTTCTATCTATCTATCTATCTATCTATCTATCTATCTATCTATGTGTCCATCCATCCTCTGTCCTTCTAGTCAGTCCCGTGATCAGCCTTTGGCCTCACTGGTCCCTTGTTAAATGCCCTCTGGGTGCATAGATTAGTACTGGCATGATCACAGCACTGTGCCCCGGTGGACATCAGAGATATCTGGTGAATTATTTCTTCTTTTTGAAAACACAACTGTATCCATTCATTACAATCTCTATATCTGTTGCTTTCTTTATAGGGCATCACAAAAAAATGTGAAGGAGAAGAAATTTTCCTAGGTCAGTTTATATATAACAAAACAGGAACCACCGTTCAAACATTTGAACTCCAGGTAATGTGTGCCCTGGGAAATGATATAAGTAGCTCTATCACTGGAAGAAAGTTGTTGGGATTGCTTCCTGTAAAGTGATGTATGAAAATAATTATGACAAAAGCATGAGTTACACAAGGCTTATCTGAACTTCATTTCTTAGCTCCAAGTGCTTACAAGGATTTTAATGCAAAAGACAGACAAATGCAAAACCAGTTTCTAAGTCAAATTCTTCCTCACCTGCTATCACTTTTTTATAATAGATATATTTAATTTCTCGGTTCTTTCTCAACTATTCCATTCCCTGAATATTATTAAGTGTAATAGTTACTACCTCACCTTGCTTGAGTATAGGGGAGGAGGATGATGGTACAATATGAAGTGGACAGAGGCAGAGAGAAGCTCAAAGGAAGAGTGGATAAAGATTTAATATCAGATAATACAAGTAAAACTCCTAATCCAATGGGGGAAAATATCAACTGTTAACTTATAAATCCCCTGAAACTCGCCAAGGCATATGAAATATATACTCATTTTTTTAATTAGCCACAGGGAGTAACTGAAGTGACGTAGAAGACATTTTATATCATGTAAAACCAAGTGTTTTATGACACTTTTTTTTATTATTATACTTTAAGTCCTAGGGTACATGTGCACAACGTGCAGATTTGTTACATAGGTATACATGTGCCATGTTGGTGTGCTGCACCCATTAACTCGTCATTTACATTAGGTATATCTCCTAATGCTATCTCTCCCCCACCCCCCCAACAATAGGCGCCAGTGTGTGATGTTCCCCTTCCTGTGTCCAAGTGTTCTCATTGTTCAATTCCCACCTATGAGTGAGAACATGTGGTGTTGGGTTTTCTGTTCTTGTGATAGTTTGCTGAGAATGATGCAGTTTCCAGCTGCATCCATGTCCCTACAAAGGACACAAACTCATCCTTTTTTATGGCTGCATACTATTCCATGGTATATATGTGCCACATTTTCTTAATCCAGCCTGTCACTGATGGACATTTGGGTTGATTCCAAGTCTTTGTTATTGTGAATAGTGCCACAATAAACATACGTGTGCATGTGTCTTTATAGCAGCATGATTTATAATCCTTTGGGTATATCCCCAGTAATGGGTTGGCTGGGTCAAATGGTATTTCTAGTTCTAGATCCTTGAAGAATCGCCACACTGTTTTCCACAACAGTTGAACTAGTTTACAGTCCCACCAACAGTGTAAAAGTGTTCCTATTTCTCCACATCCTCTCCAACACCTGTTGTTTCCTGACTTTTTAATGATTGCCATTCTAACTGGTGTGAGATGGTATCTCATTGTGGTTTTTATTTGCATTTCTCTGATGGCGAGTGATGATGAGCATTTTTTCATGTGTCTGTTGGCTGTATGAATGTCTTCTTTTGAGAAGTGTCTGTTCATATCCTTTGCCCACTTTTTGATGGGGTTGTTTTTTTCTTGTAAATTTGATTGAGTTCTTTGTAGGTTCTGGATATTAGTCCTTTGTCAGATGAGTAGATTGCAAAAATTTTCTCCCATTCTGTAGGTTGCCTGTTCACTCTGAGGGTAGTTTCTTTTGCTGTGCAGAAGCTCTTTAGTTTAATTAGATCCCATTGGTCAATTTTGGCTTTTGTTGCCATTGCTTTTGGTGTTTTAGACATGAAGTCCTTGCCCATGCCTATGTCCTGAATGGTATTATCTAGGTTTTCTTCTATGGTTTTTATGGTTTTAGGTCTAACATTTAAGTGTCTAATCCATCTTGAATTCATTTTCGTATAAGGAGTAAGGCAAAGATCCAGTTTCAGCTTTCTACTTATGGCTAGCCAATTATCCCAGCACCATTTATTAAATAGGGAATCCTTTCCCCATTTCTTGTTTCTGTCAGGTTTGTCAAAGATCAGATAGCGGTAGATGTGTTGTATTATTTCTGAGGGCTCTGTTCTGTTCCATTGGTCTATATCTCTGTTTTGGTACCAGTACCATGCTGTTTTGGTTACTGTAGCCTTGTAGTATAGTTTGAAGTCAGGTAGTGTGATGCCTCCAGCTTTGTTCTTTTGACTTAGGATTGTGTTGGCAATGCGGGCAATCCCGCATTTAAAGTTCCATATGAACTTTAAAGCAGTTTTTTCCAATTCTGTGAAGAAAGTCATTGGTAGCTTGATGGGAATGGCACTGACTCTATAAATTACCTTGGGCAGTATGGCCATTTCCATGATATTGATTCTTCCTATCCACGAGCATGGTATGTTCTTCCATTTGTTTGTATCCTCTTTTATTTCACTGAGCAGTGGTTTGTAGTTCTCCTTGAAGAGGTCCTTTACATCCCTTGTAAGTTGGATTCCTAGGTATTTTATTCTCTTTGAAGCTATTGTGAATGGGAGTTCATTCATAATTTGGCTCTCTGTTTGTCTGTTACTGGTGTATAAGAATGCTTGTGATTTTTGCACATTAATTTTGTATCCTGAGACTTTGCTGAAGTTGCTTATCAGCTTAATGAGATTTTGGGCTGAGACGATGGGGTTTTCTAAATATACAATCATGTCATCTGCAAACAGGGACAATTTGACTTCTTCTTTTCCTAACCAAATACGCTTTATTTCTTTCTCGTGCCTGATTGCCCTAGCAAGAACTTCCAACACTATGTTGAATAGGAGTGGTGAGAGAGGGCATCCCTGTCTTGTGCCAGTTTTCAAAGGGAATGCTTCCAGTTTTTGCCCATTCAGTATGATATTGGCTGTGGGTTTGTCATAAATAGCTCTTATTATTTTGAGATATGTTCCATCAATACCGAATTTATTGAGAGTTTCTAGCATGAAGGGCTGTTGAATTTTGTCAAAGGCCTTTTCTGCATCTATTGAGATAATCATGTGGTTTTTGTCTTTGGTTCTGTTTATATGCTGGATTATGTTTATTGATTTGCATATGTTGAACCAGCCTTGCATCCCAGAGATGAAGCCCACTTGATCATGGTGGAAAAACTTTTTGATGTGCTGCTGGATTCAGTTTGCCAGTATTTTATTGAGGATTTTTGCATCGATGTTCATCCAGGATATTGGTCTAAAATTCTTTTTTGTTGTATCTCTTCCAGGCTTTGGTATCAGGATGATATTGGCCTCATAAAATGAGTTAGGGAGGATTCCCTCTTTTTCTATTGATTGGAATAGTTTCAGAAGGAATGGTACCAACTCCTCCTTGTACCTCTGGTAGAATTTGGCTGTGAATCCGTCTGGTCCTGGACTTTTTTTGGTTGGGAGGCTATTAATTTTTGCCTCAATTTCAGAGCCTGCTATTGATCTATTCAGAGATTCAAATTCTTCCTGGTTTAGTCTTGGGAGAGTGTAAGTGTCCAGGAAATTATCCATTTCTTCTAGGTTTTCTAGTTTATTTGCACAGAGGTGTTTACAGTATTCTCTGATAGTAGTTTGTATTTCTGTGGGGTCAGTGGTGACATCCCCTTTATCATTTTTTATTGCGTCTATTTGATTTTTCTCTCTTTTCTTCTTTATTAGTCTTGCTAGTGGTCTATCAATTTTGTTGATCTTTTCAAAAAACCAGCTCCTGGATTCATTGATATTTTGGAGGGTTTTTTGTGTCTCTATCTCCTTCAGTTCTGCTCTGATCTTAATTATTTCTTGCCTTCTGCTAGCTTTTGAATGTATTTGCTCTTGCTTCTCTAGTTCTTTTAATTGTGATGTTAGGGTGTCAATTTTAGATCTTTCCTGCTTTCTCTTGTGGGCATTTAGTGCTGTAAATTTCCCTCTACACACTGCTTTACATGTGTCCCAGAGATTCTGGTATGTTGTATCTTTGTTCTCATTGGTTTCAAAGAACATCTTTTTTTCTGTCTTCATTTCGTTATGTACCCAGTAGTCATTCAGGAGCAGGTTGTTCAGTTTCCATGTAGTTGAGCAGTTTTGATTGAGTTTCTTAGTCCTGAGTTCTAGTTTGATTGCACTGTGGTCTGAGAAACAGTTTGCTATAATTTCTGTTCTTTTACATTTGCTGAGGAGTGCTTTACTTCCAACTATGTGGTCAATTTTGGAGTAAGCGCAATGTGGTGCTGAGAAGAATGTATATTCTGTTGCTTTGGGATGGAGAGCTCTGTAGATGTCTATTAGGTCCACTTGGTGCAGAGTTGAGTTCAATTCCTGGATATCCTTGTTAACTTTCAGTCTCGTTGATCTCTCTAATGTTGACAATGGGGTGTTAAAGTATCCCATTATCATTATTATTATTATTATTATTATTATTATTATTATTCTGAGATGGAGTCTCGCTCTGTCACCAGGCCGAAGTGCCAGTGTCACGATCTTGGCTCACTGCAACCTCCACCTCCCAAGTTCAAGTGATTCTCCTGCCTCAGCCTCCCAAGTAGCTGGGACTACAGGTGCCTGCCACCACACCCAGCTAATTTTTTGTATTTTTAGTAGAGATGGGGTTTCACCGTATTAGCTGAGATGGTCTCAATCTCCTGACCTCATGATCTGCCCACCTCGGCCTCCCAAAGTGCTGAGATTACAGGCGTGAGCCACCACGCCTGGCCTCTCCCATTATTATTGTATGTGAGTCTAAGTCTCTTTGTAAATCTCTAAGGACTTGCTTTATGAATCTGGGTGCTCCTGTATTGGGTGCATATATATTTAGGATAGTTAACTCTTCCTGATGAATTGATCCCTTTACCATTATGTAATGGCCTTCTTTGTCTCTTTTGATCTTTGATGGTTTAAAGTCTGTTTTATCAGAGACTAGGATCACAACCCCTGCTTTTTTTTTGTTCTCCATTTGCTTGGTAGATCTTCCTCCATCCTTTTATTTTGAGCCTATATGTGTCTCTGCATGTGAAATGGGTCTCCTGAATACAGCAAACTGATGGGTCTTGACTCTTTATCCAATTTCCCAGTCTGTGTCTTTTAATTGGACCATTTAGTCCATTTACATTTAAGGTTAATATTGTTATGTGTGAACTTGATCCTGTCATTATGATATTAGCTGGTTATTTTGCTCGTTGGTTGATGCACTTTCTTCCCAGCATGGATGGACTTTACATTTTGGCATGTTTTTGCAATAGCTGGTACCTGTTGTTCCTTTCCATGTTTAGTGCTTCCTTCAGGATCTCTTGTAGGGCAGGCCTGGTGGTGACAAAATCTCTAAGCATTTGCTTGTCTGTAAAGGATTTTATTTCTCCTTCACTTATGAAACTTAGTTTGGCTGGATATGAAATTCTGGGTTTAAAATTCTTTTCTTTAAGAATGTTGAATATTGGCCCCCAGTCTCTTCTGGCTTATAGAGTTTCTGCCAAGAGATCTGCTGTTAGTCTGATGGGGTTCCCTTCATGGGTAACCTGACCTTTCTGTCTGGCTGTCCTTAACATTTTTCCTTCATTTCAACTTTGGTGAATCTGACAATTATGTGTCTTGGAGTTGCTCTTCTCGAGGAGTATCTTTGTGGCGTTCTTTGTATTTCCTAAATTTGAATGTTGGCCTGCCTTACTAGGTTGGGGAAGTTTTCCTGGATGATATCCTGCAGAGTATTTTCCAACTTGGTTCCATTTTCCATGGCACTTTCAGGCACGCCAATCAGATGTAGATTTGGTCTTTTCACATAATCCCATATTTCTTGGAGGCTTTGTTCATTTCTTTTTACTCTTTTTTCTCTACGCTTCTCTTCTCGCTTCATTTCATTCATTTGATCTTCAATCGCTGATACTCTTTCTTCCAGTTGATCGAGTCAGTTCCTGAAGCTTGTGCATTTGTCACGTAGTTCTCGTGTTATGGTTTTCATCTCTATCAATTCTTTTAAGGACTTCTCTACATTGGTTATTCTAGTTAGCCATTCATCCATTCTTTTTTCAAGGTTTTTAGTTTCTTTGCACTGGTTACATAGTTCCTCCCTTAGCTCTGAGAAGTTTGATCGACTGAAGCCTTCTTCTCTCAACTCATCAAAATCATTCTCCAATCAGCTTTGTTCCATTGCTGGCGATGAGCTGCATTCCTTTGGAGGGGGAGATGAGCTCTGATTTTTTGAATTTCCAGCTTTTCTGCCCTGCTTTTTCCCCATCTTTGTGGTTTTATCTGCCTTTGGTCTTTGATGATGGTGACGTACTGATGGGGTTTTGGTGTGGGTGTCCTTTCTGTTTGTTAGTTTTCCTTCTAACAGTCAGGACCCTCAGCTGCAGGTCTGTTGGAGTTTGCTTGAGGTCCACTCCAGACCCTGTTTGCCCTGGTATCAGCAGTGGAGGCTGCAGAAGATAGAATATTGCTGAACAGAGAGTTTTGCTGTCTGATTCTTGCTCTGGAAGGTTCGTCTCAGGGGTGTACCCAGCCACATGAGTTGTGAGGTGTTGGTCTGCACCTAGTGGGGGATGTCTCCCAGTTAGGACCCACTTGAGGAGGCAGTCTGTCCGTTCTCAGATCTCAGCCCCCTTGCTGGGAGATCCACTGCTCTCTTCAAAGCTGTCAGACAGGGAAATTTACCTCTGCTGAGGTTTCTGCTGCTTTTTGTTTAGCTATGCCCTGTCCCCAGGGGTGGAGTCTACAGATGCAGGCAGGCCTCCTTGAGCTGCGGTGGGCTCCACCCAATTCGAGCTTCCCAGCGGCTTTGTTTACCCACTTAAGCTTCAGCAATGGTGGGCGCCCCTCCCCTAGCCTCACTGCCGCCTTGCAGTTAGATCTCAGACTGCTGTGCTAGCAATGAGGGAGTCTCCGTGGGCGTGGGACCCTCCGAGTCAGGTGTGGGATATAATCTCCTGGTGTGCCTTTTGCTAAGACCCTGGGTAAAGTGCAGTATTAGGGTGGGAGTTACCCAATTTTCCAGGTGTTATGTGTCTCAATTTCCTTTGGCTAGGAAAAGGAATTCCCTTCCCCCTTGTGCTTCTCAGGTGAGGTGATGCCTTACCCTGCTTCAGCTCTCGCTGGTCGGGCTGCATCTGTGGACCAGCACCAACTGTCCGACATGCCCCAGTGAGATGAACCTGGTACCTCAGTTGAAAATGCAGAAATCACCCGTCTTCTGTGTTGCTCACGCTGGGAGCTGGAGGCTGGAGCTGTTCCTATTCAGCCTTCTTGGGCATGCCCTCCTTTATGACACTTTTTGGCCAAATAGTGAGAAAATAAAGATATAACAATAATATATGTTAGAAATGAGCATATTTGTCGAGTTTCATATTTGATTATATATTCATATGCATTTGAACTCATATTATCTGTTCTTATAGTTGGCTTCATAGGTCTGGTTTTTAGACAACAAGCCCTCTCTCCCCTGCTCCTCAGCACAGCCAGCAAGGAGTGTAGAAGGGAGAAACAGTGGAACAGAGAGGTCACTTGGCTGCCATATTATCCTCCTCTCCCTCTACTTATCTTTTCATAAGCTCTTTATTCCAGTAGCTTATTTTCCCACTCATTAGACTGATATTTGAAAATAGTTATGTTAGAAAAGAAAAAAGTATATAGGCCAGGTGTGGTGGCTCACGCCTATAATCCCATCACTTTTGGAGGCCTAGGCAGTTAAATTGCTTGAACCCTGGAGTTCAAGACCAGCCTGGGCAACATGGCAAAACCCTGTCTCTACAAAAAATTAATAAATTAGCTAGGTGTGGTGGCATGTGCCTGCAGTTCCAGCTCCTCAGGAGTCTGAGCTGTGAGGATGGCTTGAGCCCAGGAGGTAGAGGTGGCAACGAGCCGTGATCATGCCACTACATTCCAGCCTGTGTGACAGAGCCAGCTCCTGTCTCAAAAAAAAAGAAGAGTATATAATTTTAAAATTTTATCAGTATTCATTGGGATTATTTGAGATGAATTTCTTTATGAGGCATTGATTTTCTTTTCTTTATTTTCAGCATGCTGTTTCTGAATATTTATTATGTGTGAAACTTAACATCTTTAGCAACTGGGGACACCCGAAGTATACTTGTTTATATCGATTCAGGGTCCACGGCACACCAGGCAAGCACATCTAGAAGAGTTGGTGCAGAAGGTCATGCCACATGTCCAGAATATTCAAGAACATTTATTCTCTTAGATGATACTGCACACATAGGAATTGAGAATTAGGAGTGGGAAGAAAACCTCAAAGTGGTTCATACTTGCCTATAAAAAGTAAACAAATTTTACTAATAAAAAATATGGAAGTAAATTAAATATCCTTGCCATAGTTTAGTCTTTAAGGATGCTCCATGTTGTCAGAGCATTGAAAACTCATTTTGTATTTAGAAGAAGATTGTCTCATCATCAGTCTTTCTCATAATACCATCTTTGCCTTCACTGACTCATTTATTTACACCAGGCTTGGGTGTCCACTATCACCACTGTCATTTAGTGCTGATCTGGAGGCACTGGTCAGCGCAATTAGATAGGAAACCAGTAATTTTTAAATTAGAGGTAAAAATTAGTGAGGAGTTCTGACCATGACCATTTACAGATAATTTGATGAATTCCTTGAAATGCAATAGAGTCTATTTTAAAAGAATAACAAACAAGGAAAAACTGTTGTAAGTTAGTGGATGCAAAATTCCCACATATAAATCAATATCATTCATAAATAAAAACAACAACCAGTTACAGAGTATAACTTACAAAATCCATTATCATCTTTAGATAATAAACATCAAATAAAAGAAGAAAATAAAATATCTACATGAAGAAATCCCAAACAGCAGTAAATGACTAAAAGAAGACTTAAGGCCAGGCGTAGTGGCTCACAACTGTAATCTTAGCACTTTGGGAGGTCAAGGGTGTGGGATCACTTGAGCCCAGGAATCTTGAGACCAGTCTGGGCAACACAGCAAGACCCCATCCCTACAAAAAATTTAAAAATTAGCCAGACGTCTTGCATGTTGCAGCTACTCAGGAGACAGGTGGGAGGATCACTTGAGCCTGGGAGGTTGAAGCTTCAAGTGAGGTGTGTTTGAGCCACTACACTCCAGCCTGGGCAACCTGTCTGGAAAAAAAAAAAAAAAAAAAGACTTCAATAAAATAAATGGAAAGATAGATATACTATATGCCATATCCTTCGATGGGAAATCTCAACTGTCAAGATGTCAATTTTAAGTTAATTTATAAATGTAACTTGATCTCAGTTAAAAACCAGAAAAATATGGCATTTATGGGACAGTTACAAGCTATTAAACAATTATTATTAAAAAAAATAATTTGGGCTGGGCATAGTGGCTCACACCTATAATCTTAGCACTTTCAGAGGCCAAAGTGGAAGAACCACTTGACTCCAGGAGTTCAAGATGAGCCTGGGCGACATAGTGAGACCCTGTCTCTATTAAAAATAAAAAAAATTAGGCGGTGCACACCTGCAGTACCAGCTACTTGGGAGGCTGAGGTGGGAGGATCACTTGAGCCCAAGAATTTGAGGTCACAGTGAGCCATGATCACTGCACTCCTGACTGGGTGGCAGAGCAAGACCCTGTCTGCAAAAAACAAATTATAGGTGTGTGTGATTGTGGTACTACAATGATGCTTTATAAAATAAATCTTAACTTTTTATTTACATATTTAAATATTTAAAGTTGAAATGGTATATGTGGGATCTTTTCCAAAATAACATAAGGTGAGGAAATTAATAAGAAAATTCATGATTGGCCATGAAATGATCATTGAAGTTGGATGCTGCCAGTCCATGGAGCTTCATTATACTATTCTGTCTAGATTTATAAATGTTTGTTATTTTCAATTAAAAAGTTTTTTAAAAATTAAGACATATATATTTTTAAAAACCCAAAGGGGGGTATGTTTTAAATGAAATTGATTCTAAAGTTCATATGGAAGTATAAACTTAGCAAAAGGACAGCCAGAAAATCTCTGAAAAAAAATCAACAAAAAGAAATAGCTCTATGACATAGGTATAAAACAATAGTTAAAACTGTATGATACTGGCAAACAGATAGACCAATGGAACAGATAAACAAGTCCAAAACTACATTTACATGTATGTGGAAGTTGGGTGTATGATAAAGGTAGCATCTCAAAAGAGTATGGGGGAAAAAACAAATTACTTGGGACAATTATCTAGTCATTAAGGAAATAAAATTCCATCCATATTTCTCACTTTATAACCTGACAAACTCCCAATATGGTAAAATATATACAAGTAGGTAATAAAACCATAAAAATATTAACAGGGAAACTTGGGATAATTCCTGTATGGCACTGAATAGAGGAATGTCTTTCTAAATATGACTCAAAATTTAGAAGCCACAAAAGAAAAAAAATTCTACTATATAAAAATCAAGAACCTCTGCATGGCCAACAAAACTTAAAATGGAAAAAATATTCACAATTGACATTATAAGGACCAACCTTTCCAATATATACACAGTCCCCTGAAAGCAATTGTAATATCAGTAACACATTAGAAAAATGGCCAGTGAACAGATCATCTAGAGAAGCATATGAAAGATATTCAAGCTTATTTACTTAAGAAAATTGGCAAAACTTATATTGTACCATGTTTCACTGATGAAATTAGAAAGATCCAAAAGTTTGATAATGTTTTATTTCAAGGCTTTGGGGAAACAGGATCTCTCACATATTGCTGGAAGGAATGCAAATAGGTATAACATTTATGGAGGGAACTTGGCCTATCTATAAAAATTAAAGATGAATATATCCTTTGACTGAAAAACTTAACCATGTGCAAAATGCCATATATAAAATGTTATTCATCAGCAATATTTCCCAGGAGGAAATGTAATGAGAGAGGTAGGAATGGGGTAGGAGGAAGTCCCCACATAGGCAGGACCAAAGTGTTTTATTGTATATTTATACTATTTTGTTTTTAAACCATGTTTTTAAAAAACATGGTTTTTAAAGCATGTGAATATTTTGCCAATTAAGGCATTACATGATATTTTAAATAGACATGTTCTTTTGTTTTTTAATACAATGGTCAAGGAGAAAATAGATATTCAATAAGTAAAGAGTGATAAATGTAATGAAAAGAAAAAAATAAGAAAGAGACACACGAAACCAGGGGACCTTAGCCAGGAGACTAGGGAAGCCCCCTGCCAGGAAAACAATTTGTGAGATAGTGGTCTCGGGCTACCCTCTGTATTAGATTCCCCTGGTCATATGAGAAAAATCAGTGGGCTTTCTGAAACACCCAGGAGCTGGAAAGATGAAGATAGAGAAAACAACACCAGGGTGCTGCCTCTGTATATCCTCCTGAGGATGTGGATATGATGGGGTGGTGTGAAAATGGAAAAGACCTGGGTGCCTTTTATGAGGCATAGTAATGCCAGCCCTCCCATTTTCAGCATGGAAAACCAGCACAAAATTATGATCCTCATCTCCTTCTAAATCACCCTTTTGAATACAGGGTCCACTTCTAGCGACCCTGGGCTAAGGGAAGCTCCAAACTCCTCCTGTTCATGTGGCCACACAGCCGTAGCCTACTTTCTGTCTCTTTGCCAAGCAGATTGGAAGCTTTAGCAAACAATTCTCTATGTAAATGTGTGTTTTCTACCTGCTAACAGGTAGCCCACCAAAAACGTACCACTTCATTGAAAAGGTGGCTTTTTATGAAACCATGAAAGCCATGTGCAGTGAAGTGGGGCTGGGAGTGGCAGCAGTGCTAGGGGTGGTCATTCTTTGACTATAATGGGGGCACATGTGTGACACTTTGGAGGAACTAGAAGTTCAAGAGCTGTGCAAAAATGGCTTAAGAGTGATGGGATGGCAGCAGACAAATGGAGTAGCTGGAAAATGTAGGCAGTGCTACCCAGGGAAGCAGACAAAAGATTTTAGACTTTAACCGAGGAGCAATGTTTTGTAGCCATTGAGGATCTAAGAAAAGATTGTGATATAATTGAAGTGGAGTTTAGACATATCACACTGGTTGGCATGTGGAGAATGGACCATAGAGGCCCAGGAGTAGGCAGGGGAGGTCAGTGAGAGAGTTGCTGCAATAGTCCGGGTGGCAATTAGTGGGGATAGCAGGATGGAGAGAGGCAAATGGAAATAAAAGGGGAAACAGAATCAATGGAAAGGGCCAGTAGGCTGGTTAGAATGGGATTCATTCTGAGTCACAAATAGCCACTGCTCTCATGGGGTAAATAAAGAATTGCTTCCATGCTTTCAAAGTGGAAGTCAGTTTGCAAGAGTCTTTTCCTTAAGGCAGTTGAACTAAGCCTCCTTCCAGCAATTACCCATGACATGCACCAATACTTGGCAAAGCCAGCTTTCTCACAGGTAGTAATGATGCTGGCATCCCTTTGTGTTCCCTTGGCTTTCCTTAGGTTGAGGAATAAAGTATGGAATTCTATTTCAAGTGGTGGATATTAATTCCAGTAGGGTGGTGTAAATTTAGAGTGCAGGCTTGAAATCAGGAGATGTGAGTTAAAAATCAATTTCAAAGCTAGCAAGCACTGTGAACTTGAAGAGTGTTCTAGAAAAGGAATTTTTGGTTACAAGAAAGAGAAAGGCCCTACAACTAGTGCAGTAGTTGGGAGAGGGTTCTTACAAAGTTCCCAAAAGATCATGAAATGCAAGGACAGGAAATGAAATATAGCCAGACCTCATGAGAATAGGACCAAGGGCAGCTGTTCTCTGGAGTTGCACTCATGACTAGTATAGCTGTTCAATACCAGCCAGGTTCCTGGGAGTGGGGGAGCTGTTTAATGGCAACATACTCCTGCCTCCACACATCCCACGTGCAAGCCCCCTGACAATGGAACTCTGCTGCTCCTCCCATCCAGAGGTGAAGTCTTGTTTCAATCATTCTTTTTTCTTTTCTATATCTTATGATGATTTGGCATTATAAAAATCTGGGGAGGCTGGGTGTGGTGCCTCAAGTCTGTAATCTCAGTACTTTGGGAAGCTGAGGGAGGTAGATAACTTGAGGTCAGGAGTTCAAGAACACCCTGACCTGTTGCAGGAAATCAGAGGACTAGAGAGACCAATGGGTGGAACAGGAGGATTTTGTTAAGGTGCACACCAGCTCAGCAGATTCGCAACCAAAAGGCTGAGCCCTGAACAAAAACAGGGCTTGACTTTTACAAGCAAGCTTACAGGAACAGAACAAAGACAGTTAATCAAACAGTGACAGGGCTCATAATCTTTAGCATAGCTTGTGACCTTGCAGCTGCATTGAAGAAGAAACAGGAACTTACAAAACCTTGCAAAATACAGGTGC